ATATCAAAGGTTCCTTTTTTTAAAACACAACTCAAGTTTTTCATAATCGTCTAGCCGAAAGAAATCAACATAAATTGAAGACATTCTTTTAAAAACAACATCCCTGATGTCAGCATACATCGGCGGCTGTGTGTGACGTGCTCTACGGTTTGTTCAGCTGTGATATGGAGAGAGGAGGGATGAGGGAGGGTCTGTACTTGTTCCTCTTTCAGTCTGAAACCCGAAAGCATCTCTCACCCAGAACTTCCAGCAGTTACCCGCAGGCCATGTTCTCAATGTGCAGCATGGAGCAGCACCGCCTCTCTGAGTCAGCAGGGACTTGTCTTGTTTTTGTGCCGAGGTGTAATCAGAGAGTGTCGACCTCGTTTTTTGGAAGCGCTGCCTGGTATGTGAGGCGGTTGAGGTCGGCGGAGTGGAGGAGAGGACGAGTTTAACTCCAGCAGCTCTCAGGACAGCAGGAAACCTCGATCAGCAGGACTAAGAGTCAGTGCTGTATTTGTATTTGTACTGATGGATAAAACACAATCAGCCTGGGGCACGCTGGTGGCGCAATGGTTAGGGCGCGCGTCCCATGTGTTGAGACTCTCATCTCAAGCGGTAGGCCCAGGTTCGCCTCCACCCGTGGGCCCCTTTTCGCATGTCATTCCCCGCTCTCTCTCCCTGGTTTCCAGCTCTGTCCACTGTCCTATCTCTGCATCAAAGGCACGAAAAGCCCAAAAAATAAACCACAATCAGCCCATGGTCCCCTTCTCGCCTTATGTCGACATGCTGCGTTGCAAAGATTTATGTTGCTGTTAGGAACAAAAAAAAAAACAAATTGTAATTCTCTGACATTTAGAACCGGTTCCAGGTTGAAACTGTTCTACATATACAAGTCTACATTCTGTCCAGTCTGCAAAGTAATGCAACATATTTTATTAAAGTAATCAAACATTACAGTGTGTGAGGAAGTCAGTGTGCATGCAGTCTTGTAAATGTGTCAGATACACAAACATTATCAAAGGCAGTCTGCAGGCTGGAGGAGGGAGGGAGAGAGGGAGAGGGAGAGAACTGTGCAGGTGTGCTGATAAGGTGTCAGTCTCCTCCCACAGCTACCTGAAACAAGAGAAACACAGCCAGCAGGGGGAGACACAGAGCAGGTAGAGAGGTCGAACCCTGAGGTCGTCACATCCCACCTCAAGCTTTATCTTATAATTCAGTTTATGGTGCTGCCCTGAAACATAACGTCGCTCACATTTCTACATTTCATCGTTACCAACATACCATCAGTGTACCGTGCTTTATGTTCCCTCGATGTGAAAGACTTCTCGCCGCCTCTGAGCCAAAGAGAGGCTTTAACCCAAGAACCAGCTCGACCTGAAAACAGATCTGTGCGTTAAAGTGACGGACGTGTTCACACTTGCCTGGTTCCAGATGTGTGACCTAAATATTAAGGCAGCAGCAGAAAGACTATCCCTCTCGTGTGCGTGTGTGTGTGTGTGCGTGTGCGTGTGCGTGTGTGTGTGTGTGTGTGTGTGTGTGTGTGTGTGTGTGTGTGTGTGTGTGTGTGTGTGTGTGTGTGTGTGTGTGTGTGTGTGAGGGAATGTAAAAATGTGTGTGCTCAGCAGTCATATACTGAAGCGAGTCATCAACTCTCAGATTGATTTGAAAGGCTTCTTTTTCAGGGGGTCAAAGGTCGAACCAGGCTGAATGACAAATGACCCTTTCTCCCCCACCAGCCCCCCCCAGTCTATTTTTTTCTGAACTCTGTGTGTAAGTTCAACTCATGTCGGTATACTTGACGACTTGCTGTAAAACTAGTGTCAACATACGGCTGTCAAATGCTTTGATTCAATGTTTGATAGTAGTAAACAGTTTTAATCACAAGTTAAAGGAGCAGTATGTAACTCTGACCCCTAGTGTTTAAAATGGGTACTGCAGTCCAAATTCTAAACATGGTAGAGAGCTGCCCCCCCCCTTAGAGTCGATGGTCACGCAGGTTGTTATGTGGTGGACACTTTAGCCAGCTCTGCATCGGTCTGTAAACCTTTCTGTGTTCTAACCTCTCTCCATTTTTCAAAAGCATCTCCAATATTGATCCTAGTTTGAGCACGTTTCTGCTCAGATAACTGCTCTCATATCTGGCAAACAGAGGGGCGTCCAAAACGGCCGTGTGGGGGTGCCTTAAAACCGCCTACCTTTTTTGGTCTAAACAAATCCAGAGCATTCAGGACCAGAATCTAAAGTTAGAAGGAGGCACATTGTCCATTTGTATATACATTCTATGGAATTTGTGTGTGTGTGTTTGAGCCTCTCTGCACAGGGGGGAGGGGTCATGTTGTTTAATCTATTGTAGGCCACGCCCCCCTCCCTCCCTGACTGTTGCTGCAGATATAAAAGCCCTCCGCAGACACACAAACCTTTCCTCACTCCCGTGTTATCTGACACGACAGATCCGAGGTAAGCTTGTGTGTGTGTGTGTGTGTGTGTGTGTGTGTGTCTTTCTTATCATAAGGTATGTTGTGCATTATATCATAAATCCTCGTAACTGTCGGTGCAGTAAATGTGTGTTTTATGTGTTTTTGTAAAGGAAGAGCAGGTTTGTATTTCTCTTTTCAAACTTTTCTGTTAGTGCAGGTTTTGTGACCTCGTGAAGAAGGCAGACATGTTTACAGCACTCGTATAAACCGGAACATTATGTCGCCCTCCAGGAATGGGACTGTTACGTTCTTTAGATAAAGTTTGCACCGTCTGTACTCTGCAGATACGAAGCTAAGGAAGGTGTGTGTGTGTGTGTGTGTGTGTGTGTGTGTGTGTGTGTGTACACAAGCAGGAAGGATCTAAAAGAGGAACTTCAGCTTTATTTGTAGTTTGTGTTCTGGAGTTCGAGTTTCAGAAAGATCAGAGTGATTAATGATCTGCTTTGAAATCTGATACTGATTATGTAACACTGCAGGATGGAGGGTTGTGTGCGTGTGCGTGTGCGTGTGCGTGTGTTAGGTTTTGTGTTTTATCCAGAAGGAGTAAAGTGTTCATCCAGATGAGATTTCATGCATTAATTTCAGACTTCAATCTCTGAAAGCTGAGTGTTTTGTTAGGACATAAACAAAAACATTGACAACTCGGAGGTAAATTTATGCGCCGTGTCCAAATAGCGTTTTCTTCTGAGCGCCATCGTCTTTTCTAAATGTGTGACATTCCCCGTATTTTAGCCGCCTACAGATCGTGTCTTGTCCCCTCATCCTCTGATCGGGAAATAAACGATCTCAAATATAAAACATGCTGTAAAAAGCAACGGAGCAGTGTCGGTCATACAGCGGCCGTTGTCATGGAGACAGGACGGCCGTGCACCGCTTTTCTTCTCACTTCACGCAAGAGCTCCAGAGCGCACAGTCAGCGCTTTTCTGCCCGGGGAAAACGCACCACGGGGCCTTAAACAGCGTGCACGAGTTTGCATGACATTGTTGGGGATTTAAGCGGAATTGGTCGACGCCTCGGACTGCTTTTTTTTTTTTTTTTTCCTGTCGTATCGATACCGTTTGATTTCTTTCTTGTATTATATCTACGTTTTTGACTGTGGTGGTGACCTCAGGTAGGAGCGTGACTCTGTTCTGTCTGTGCACAGTCAGCTGGTCTGAAGCCCACATCCAGCACTTCTCTTCAACCCTCCGAAACACATCGTTAAGATCAACGTTTCTGTTTCATCAGCTTCGATAAATAAGCTGTGGATGGAAAACTTTCAGTTCTCATGAAGAACCGAGGAAACGTCTCAGAGCAGATGTTCTGTAGATCAGCGAGGAACACAGACTGCATGTAGAGATCCTTTGAAAGACATCAGCATACAGCAGTTCACTGACGAGCCCTGATTAGTTTACATTCATCAAAAAGTGAACAGAATGAAACAAGCACTCCGGGCTCACCCTCCTCCTCCCTTATGATGGATGCAAACGTTCTTTAATCCCTTGTTTTTCGTCCTGCAGAGTTTCACAGAGACGCTGTCAGTCAGAGCGGACCAGATGAGGCGGCTCCCCTCCTCGCCGCTCTGAGTTACTGTGACTGTTTGTTTGGCTGCTCAGCTTGTTATACAACTCCAGCACATTCCAGACATCAGCTGTTTCACGACCCTGAAACCCCCCTCCTCCAGACCGTGTGTGTGTGTGTGTGTGTGTGTGTGTGTGTGTGTGTGTGTGTGTGTGTGTGTGTGTGTGTGTGTGTGTGTGTGTGTGTGTGTGTGTGTGTGTGTGTGTGTGTGTGTGTGTGTGTGTGTGTGTGTGTGTGTGTGTGTGTGTGTGTGTGTGTGTGTGCTGCTTGTCAACAGGCATACTCTCTCCTGGAGATGAGCTCTTTCCTTCATTTCTATATTTAAGGACTCTCGTTACTTCATGAACCAGATATCGATTACTCGGTCACTGTGGACCTCCTGGGCCGCTGCTCTGCGAGTCTGTAGGACAGCCGTCGTTCTGAAGTGATGAGTGATGGTTACCTGGATGGGACCTACTCGCTCACCTTGTCATAGGCTTTAACAGCTGGGGATGTTTGAACCATCATCATCAACCTTTATTTATACCTCAAAGCTCGCTGACCTTATATACAGTACAAGCATGTTTAAGGAGAACGGTGCGGAGCGTCTGTAGCCTCGAGGTTAGTGCGAACGCCACATGCACCGAGGCTGAAGTAATCCAAGCAGGAGGAGGTACGGGTTCAAATCTCTCTCTCTCTCTCTCTCTCTCTCTCTCTCTCTCTCTCTCTCTCTCCACATGTTCTGACTCTAGCGTCTGTCCCGTCTTTAAACTTTCATGTAAATACGCCCAAAAAACTTTCAACTCCAGCAGAAAATAAGGAAATCAAACAGACTTTAAAATGTCAGAAAATACAGGTATGATACAAAGGTACAGGTGTACTGAATTCAGAGAGGTGTTGAATTGAACGGGTCTTGTGCATAAAATCAAAAGTAACAACCTATAATAACCTCTCTCTCTCTCTCTCTCTCTCTCACCCTCCCTCTCTCTCTCTCTCTACAGATGCCTCAGTTTGAGAAGTCGACGGTCCACATGAAGGACCCGGAGAAGGTGGAGCAGATCATCTGTGGCCTCATCAAAGGAGGAGCGTCCAAACTACAGGTGTGTGAACACATTTCAGCACGTGTCAGTCGAAGTCTGTAGAGCGAGTTTTATGAATTGTAGCTCTAAACGGGGAATAATACGGTGGCCGACAGGTTCAACAACTATAAGACTTACATTAAGAAAAACAGTTTCAGACATCTCGGGGCCGCAAACAACAGAGCCCCCGCTCGGCTGTCTCGTCCCTGGTGACAAAATCCAGACTGGACTCGCTGTAAATCTCCTTGGTGCTCTGATATTGACGTTCAATGTTAGTCGTTTCAGACTTTGCCAAGTGCTTGCACTTTTCGGCCACCTGGTGGTGCTGCAGCTCTGAATCGTGCACTAATTAAAAGCTTCTGATCAGCTGATCAGACAGATCTCGAGTTATTGACTATTGCGGTTTCCTCCTGCAACAGGTGTGTTTTTTTGGGTTTCCCCTGAGGTCTTTCTGTTTCTTCTTGTTTCTATTTGAAGCCCCGATGTGTCTGATGAACTCATGTATCACTTCTGGTAAACAAACCGCTGTTGGCTTTGTTGCAGATCATCACAGACTTCGACATGACGTTAAGCAAGTTTGCGGTCAACGGCAAACGCTGCCCGACATGTCACAGTAAGTAGAGTCAGACAGTTCTTCAAGTCAGTTTTTTCACCGTCTTTGTGAAGGTGTATTCTCAGTTTCAGGGTGTTTCTCTTGAATGATTCTGTTCTCCTTCTCTGCACAGATATCATTGATAACTGTAAGCTGGTGACAGAGGACTGCAGGCAGAAGCTGCTGCAGCTGAAGAACAAATATTATCCCATCGAAATCGACCCTCATCTCACCATGGAGGAGAAATACCCGTTCATGGTGGAGTGGTAAGACACAAAGCCGCCACAAACACACATCCTAAGGAATTCAGAGTAGAAGACGCACTTTTAATCCATGAGGCGACGAGGCAACGCCTGCGAGCCTTTTCAGGGAAAAAACTCCAGCTGCTCTGATTTCATGTCTGACATGCGTCAACTCCTCAATCACCTCACAACACCTCCTTCTGTTCCTCAGTCTTTTTGAAGGTCACTTATCCTCCTCCTCTTCAATCAGTGTAAATAAGTCTCAGAGCTCCTCAAAACATGTCTGTGAAGTTTCTTGTTCTAAATCCACAAAGCATGCTGGGATACCTGGAGGTGCAGACCAGTCGTTTCAGCCCTCATCGTTGCCGAGCGCCGTCTCTTTTTAAAGTTATAAACACGGTGCATATATTAAGGTGTGTTTTGTGTTTGCAGGTATTTCAAGTCTCACACGCTTCTGGTGGAGCAGCGGTTAGAGAAAGACAAACTGTCCGAGGTGGTGAGAGAGTCTGACGCTGCGCTCAGGTACATGTTCCTTTTTTTACTGTTGCATTATGGGTATTAGGTCCCGAGGTGCTAGATTGTGCACAAATTGAGATATGGATATATTTGAAGAAATAGAGGTTAGCAGGTTTTTTTCTACATACAGCAGCAAGTATTATATTATTTAACCAAGGCAGAGGTTAGCGATGTCACCTCACAGCGAGGAGGTTCCTGGTTGTCTGTCTCTATATGTCAGCCCTGTGATTGGCTGGAGAACAGTCCAGGGTGTAACCCCGCCTCTCACCCAGTGACAGCTGAGATCGGCTCCAGCCTCATATAAAGCCCGAATAGATAATAAATGGATTATTTCACCTCTAATTAAGTAAACAAATCTACTTTAAATGAAGCAAGAGAAGGGGCGCTGGTGACACAGTGGTTAGTGCGCGCGCCCCATGTATGGAGCTGTACTCCTCCAAGCGGGCGGCCCGGGTTCGAATCCGACCTGTGGCTTCCTCCCTGCATGTCATTCCCTACTCTCTCTCTCTCTCTCCCACAAAAGTCCAAAAATAAATCTTAAAAAAACATCAAATAAAATAAAGCAAGAGAAGAAGAGAGCAGCAGATTTTCACAAACTTTGACTTGCACTAAAACTTATGGTCATGATAATTTATGGTTTTAATGTTTAATGTTGAACCACTTGAAATGTGTCACATGTTTCTGCACGATTACAGCCGACCTCGTGGGAACAGCGTCGACCTGTAGTATCAGAGTCAGTTCTTCTTTTTGTCTCGTTCAGGGAAGGTTACGAGCAGTTCTTTGACCGCCTGCAGCAGCACACTGTTCCTGTCTTCATCTTCTCCGCCGGCCTGGGCGACGTCCTGGAGGAAATCATCCGCCAGGCCGGCGTCTACCACCCCAACGTCAAGGTGGTCTCCAACTTCATGGACTTTGACGACAACGTGAGTCTGACAGGAGGGACGGGCGCCTCTTTTCTTCCTCTGATGCTGTGACCTCTCAGCCTCAGGACTTTAAAACGTTCTAACGCTGGTTTGTCTGATCTGCTCCTCCTCGCACAGGGCGTCCTCAAAGGTTTCAAAGGCGAGCTGATCCACGTGTACAACAAACACGACGGCGCCCTGCGGAACACGGAGTACTTCAAACAGGTGAAGGAATACCACAACATCATCCTGATGGGAGACTCGCTGGGGGACCTCAGCATGGCCGACGGCGTGCCCAACGTGGAGAACATCCTCAAGATCGGCTTCCTCAACGACAAGGTGAAAACATTTGACCACGAAGCCTTTGAGAATCCCGCTTTGAGATGAAGATGTTTCTCTCTCCACCGTTTGTGCGTCGCTTAACAAAAGCATAGAGCGCCCTCTGCTGGTTGAAAAAAAAAAAAAAACATTTTTGTGCAATCCATTGAATTTGTCTTCAGTGCATCCCATTAAAAAAAAAACGTGTTTATGCACGTTGTTGTTCATTTGATCTCCATGGCGATGACGGCAGTTATAACTTTTTGTCCTCTCTCGCTCTCTCTCTCTCTCTCGCTCACTCTCTCCTCTTTCTCTCTCTCGCCCTCTCTTTCTCTCTCTGTCTCTCGCTCGCTCTCTACTCTCTCTCTCTCTTTTCTTCTCTCTCTCTGCAGGTGGAAGAGCGCCTGGACAAATATCTGGACTCTTATGACATCGTCCTGGTGAAGGACGAGACGCTGGAAGTGCCCAACGCCATCCTCCAGAAGGTTCTATAACTCCCCCCCCCCCCCCCCGACACGTCGGAGCCTGTCAGACTCCAAACACCAACCCAAAGCTTTCTTACTGCTCCGGATCATCTCTGTTTAACTCCACCTGGGTCACCTTCCAGCTCTGTGCCCCCCCCCCACCCCCCTCACTTTGTAAAATCCTTTTTTTTTTTTTCTTTTTTTTTTTTAAAGACATTCAACATGAACTGTTTTAAAAGTCCTCGCAGCAGCACGTCTCTGGTGTGTTTTGTCCGTTCAGTCATTTTTAGATATCTTCATCATTCATACTTTATAATAGTTATATTTATCACCGTTTAGACGAGAATATTTAAACATGCTGACGTTGTGTTTCAGAAATCAGGCGCCCACAATCTCACACCTGACCGTTTCACACATGCACAAAACGTTCAAATCGTGCTGATCTGGTTGCGCGGGGGGGGGGGTCAGCGCTGAAGTGTTGGGGCAGTACAACGCTTCATATCACTGCTCCGTGTAGTCCAAGATATTCACAATCTGAACAAAAGAGTGGCGCAGGGGGCGGCGTTGGCCGAGTGGTTAAGGTGTGCGACCCATGTCCACCTCGCTGTCTGACTCTGTCTGCTGTCCTGTCTCTTTAAATAAAAGCTCAAACGCCCAAAAATAAACCTTAACAAAAAATTAAAAGCGCTGAATCCCAGCGGTCGTGTGCAGACAGTCTGTGGTCAGGCACCAGTGGTTGCAGGATGTAAACATAACGCCCCCCCTCCCACTCTCTCAGGTGTATTTCCGGGTGCATTCTCACATCAGCTCACCCGACTTCATGCTGAAGATTAAGCAGGTGGCTGGTAAAAGACAGTCCAGGTCAAGTTCAGTGGTTTGTGTTCACACACGCGGCTCATTCAGGACGTTTTCAGGAGTTTTGTGCAGGTGTGAAACCACCGTCAGTGTTTTCTTTGAAGATGTTTCAGCATGTCTCAGGTATCACCTGGTGGAAATATAAAAAGTGAGCGATCTGTGGAGGATGTCAGAGATTCAGCACCTGAAGGACCTGCTTATTCCTAGAAAAACAACGAAGCATGTGTCGCCAGGTGAAGGCAGAAATATAAAGACCACTACGAGTATTTTTCTTTAGGGGATTCAGATTGCTCAGATAAATCTCCAATGAGCAGGGAAAACGCACTTTTAAGTTCTGTGTAGCGAGGGAATCAACCCGCACATGAACACGTGAATGTTGGGGCGCATTCTCGCACATCGCTCTTTGACCCTGACGCGCTCGTTTGGCATCAAATCAACAAAAAGAAGAAGAAGCTCTCTATTCCTCCAACAAGACGATCCCCTTTAGCTTCTCTGCTTTATAAATAAATATTCAAGTGTTCACCACGTAGTGTTCCAGATTAACCACTAACGCCGCCCTCTAGTGGTCATTAGGGGGAATTACAAAACACCTGGAACCAAAGTTAAAGTAGATTAAAGGTATATTTCACCATTTCAGTAAACAGAAGGAAGCACACTGCTGTTTGTGGCTCAATCAAACCCGGAACGAGACGCAGAGATGGCGATGGCGTCGTTCTGCAGTAACAGTGGCGCTCTACCTCGAACATATTCAGTCGTTTCTTGTTTTTGTTTTAAAGTAAAGAGGTCTCCGTTTGTCTGGACTCGTGCTGAATGTTCTCTTTGAATCTGTTTGTGTTTTTAATGTGCTGCTATCACCTGCATGTTGCCTTTTCTTATTACGTTTATGTCAAACTAACGGGCGACAGGGAATAATGTCATGTTGTATTAGTGGGCGTTAAATATATAAATATAGAGATATATGGAAATGTTTTTTGTTGCTCTGCAGTCGGAGCAAAGAGCGCCACAGTTACAGAAGTGTAGACCTGTGAGTTGTATTTTTATAAACAGAAGGCTTCTTCCTCTTTTCTTTGATGCTGTGATTTTAAAAATGCAATAAAATGTCACTTTGAGATCCGAGATGTCGTCACAGAAATCTGCTCTAAAATCTACCCAGTGATGTTTTGGTTTCATGATGCTTTACATCCACATGTTCACTTAAAGGGGCAGTATGTAACTGACCCCTAGTGTTTAAAATGGGTACTGCGTTCCAAATTCTAAACATTGTAGAGAGCTGTCTTCCCCCCCCAGAGTCGATGCTCACGCAGGTTGCCATGTGGTGGACACTGAAGCTTCAGTGTTTAGCCAGCTCTGCATCGGTCTGTAAACCTTACTGCGTTCTAACCTCTCTCCATTTTTCAAAAGCATCTCCAATATTGATCCTAGTTTGAGCACGTTTCTGCTCGTGGAGCTTATTAGAAACATGCAGAGGCTTTTTAGGTCGGGTACAATCACTTCTATCTGAATCACTTGTCTTGCCCGCTTCCATCGCTGCAACACCTGTTGGTTTGACCTGATAACTGCTCTCATATCTGGCAAACCGAGGGGCGTCCAAAACGGCTGTGTGTGTCTAAAACACACACAGCCATTTCATTTATTTAAGTTTTACAGTAAAAATCCTAAAAATAAACTTTTAAAAGAAAGGAAATCTCCCAAAGATGTCTGATAGTATAAAAGACTGATAGATCTAATAAACATCTGGTGTAGGACGAGTGAGAGAGTCCTGAAACAGAAGCTGCAGGTGAGAAAAGGTGTTTGTGTTTGAAGTCCTTTCTTCCAATATTTAAGGTAATTAATGAGGTGATGTCACGTGCTTAAATGAGTGTGAAGGTCACTGAGGTAACATGGACTGCTGGTTTGTTTGAATGGATCGTACTCTCTTTATAAACAAACTGAAGTTTGAGGCACACTGTGGATCACTGTTTGCTTGCAGTACCAGTCGTGTCCGCTAGAGGACGGTAAATCTCAGATTCTTTGAAGAGTTCTGGAGACAGAAACTGGAGAAGGCTGAAATCTGTACGACGTGGCGTTTTGGGAATTTACAAACTGTCTTTTGAAGGGTATCTTATGTGGCTCGTTGGTCTAGGGGTATGATTCTCGCTTAGGGTGCGAGAGGTCCCGGGTTCAAATCCCGGACGAGCCCGCATCTTTTTACCAAACGAGGATTTTTTTTACCTGTAGATGAGAAATTAAAGTCATCAGCTGATCGATTATTCAGGGAGGTTGTGCTCGTGGATTTCTCCGTCCGCAGCTTCATCATCGTTTTTACACTTTTAAAACTGCAGGAGACATTTTTAAAGATCATGAATAAAAAGCATTTTTATTCATAATTTAATTCAAAACTTGAAACTTTCTTTGATTAATTGCAAATCAATTGAAATATTAGAAGCCTTTTATGTTTTAATCTGGAAATCATTCATATAAAAATATACAGTTTATCAAAATGACACATTTATGAGAAAGGACATCAGTTAACTGTTGATAATAGTGATCTATTTTACTAATGACATGAGAACAGCAAACATGGAGGCTGCGTCCGTCAGTAAGGTCAGTAGTGTAGTTGATGTGTGGCGAGAGAGAGGGGGAGAGAGAAGGGGACAGAGAGCAGGAGAGAGAGGGGGAGCCAGGTGTATGATTCTCGCTTAGGGTGCGAGAGGTCCGGGTTCAAATCCCGGACCAGCCCGAAGTTTCCAAAATAAAGGTCAAAACATATAATTAGACATCATTACTCAATGACATATCAGAGCCACTGAGTTCCCACAGCATCATTTAATAATCACAGAACACTCCACAACAACATCAAACATCAGTACCTGATCACATTTATACTTCAAAATGAGTTTCACTGAGGCTCTGGGTGCCTGGTGGTTAGTGCGTGCGCCCCATGTAGCCTACAGAGGCGTACCTCTCCAAGCTGGTTGTCGGAGTTTGAGTCCGATCTGTGGCTCTTTTCTCGCATGTCAATGACCACTCTCTCTCTCTCTCTCTCTCTCTCCCTGATATGCCTTTGTGTAGTACGGAGGCCCTAAAGCGACCTGCATCAACACATTTTATTTTATTCTATCATTCCGCGATAACGAGAACATTTGGGGTGACAAACAAATAAACAAATATGCATGGATGTTTGTCCACTTAGGGCTTCCTTAGTATGCGCTACATTTAATCTCCAGTTAAATTCATCAAATGCTGAAACAGAAAACATACAGTTTATTAAAATGACACATTTATGAGAAAGGACATCAGTTAACTGTTGATAATAGTGATCTATTTTACTAATGACATGAGAACAGCAAACATGGAGGCTGCGTCCGTCAGTAAGGTCAGTGGTGTAGTTGATGTGTGGCATAAATGAAGTGTGGGATGTTGTGAAGCAAAATGTAACAAAGCCTGAAATGTGCAAAATTAGTGATCAATGTGAGTCCATGTGGCAGGAGAGAAAGAGAGGGCGAGAGAGAGGGCGAGAGAGAGGGGGAGAGAGAGGGGGGAGCCACCCTTGGGTCGGGCTTTTATGCCCCGAGAGCAACAGGCCCAGGTGCTCTAAATTGGACGAGCCGAGTCCTCGAGGAATAAGAGAGACAGAACCGATTAGTAATAGCCTGGTTATTAATCTAAGGCAGAGACCATCACATCAGACCAATCAGAAAGAAGGATTTATTAAATGTCTGTTGTGAATTGGCGCCATATAAATACATGTTGATGGCAGTCTTCAGCTCGTCTGTGCTGAAGGTCAACCACTTTCTCAATTTTATGTGTCAATGAGACTCAATGGCGATTCTAGGGTTTGTTGGGGCCCTATAGGCAAAAGTTATTTTAGGGGCCCTCCGACCAGCAGGGCAACAAGAGTGGATATGGTCAGACGGCGCCCCCTTAGGGAGGTTTCCTACTGTCATTGCAAAATTTGCACATTTTGGGTTGCTGCTTTGGTCCAAAGTTTGCCCCCCCTACTAGTCTGGGGCCCCAAGCCTTGCCTGTTGACAAGCAGCGCCCCTGATGAGACTGTGCACGCACACACACACACATACACACACACACACACACACACACACACACACGTACTACATCAAGCTAATCTTCAATAAATAAGTGGGATCTCAAAGAGAAGGTCAGGCTGGACTCAAAGTTGGCATTTCTTGTTCTTACCGGACAACCTGAGGCGTCTGCACATCCATAGAACCAGACTATAAGGTCATCACTGAGGTCACAGGAGTGGTCATCAGAAACATCAGCTCTTACACATCGTCAGTATCGTTGGAGCTGGTGTTTCCTCTTGACTCCATAGATTCTCTATAAAGGAACAAAATCCTCTGGTTTATTTAAAACTCAGTTAGTATATCCTCACCTCGGGCTTTAAAGAGAAAAAATGATTAATCAGAAGTCCCTGTTTGATAAAAAAAAAATTCAGCCTCCTGCAGTGCTACAGATCACCACTAGATGGCGCCAAATACCACTAAAAATCTCATCCATGTTTCCATATGGACATGAAACGGTCACACAACGTGGCAGGTTCAGTTCTGTTTGAAAATGACAGCTTTGTTCTAGACAGTTGTGGCTCGTTGGTCTAGGGGTATGATTCTCGCTTAGGGTGCGAGAGGTCCCGGGTTCAAATCCCGGACGAGCCCGAAGTTTTCAAAATAAAGGTCAAAACATATAATTAGACATCATCACTCAATCACATATCAGAGCAACTGAGTTCCCTCAGCATCATTTAATAATCACAGAACACTCCACAACGACACCAAACATCAGTACCTGATCACATTGGCCTCACTGAGGCTCTGGGTGCCTGGTGGTTAGTGCGTGCGCCCCATGTAGCCTACAGAGGTGTACCTCTCCAAGCTGGTTGCCGGGGTCCGGTCTGTGGCTCTTTTCCCGCATGTCAATGACCACTCTCTCTCTCTCTCTCTCTCTCTCCCTGATATGCCTTTGTGTAGTACGGAGGCCCTAAAGCGACCTGCATCAACACGTTTTATTTTATTCTATCATCCCGCATTAACGAGAACATTTGGGGTGACAAACAAATAAACAAATATGCATGGATATTTGTCCACTTAGGGCTTCCTTAGTATGAGCTACATTTAATCTCCAGTTAAATTCATCAAATGCTGAAATAGTTTAAAGTCTTTGCTTCTGTTTATTTATTCATTTTTTTTACACATGACTGTGGCTGTGATCATATTGTTTTGTTTTCACCTTCACAGGTTGGACAAAATATCATATGAATGAATATAAAAGATTTGATTCATTTCATGTTAAATTAAGAAGAAAATACTTTTAAAGTGTTTCTGAAACAGTCAACAATGTGCGAATAAACACAGCCTGAAGTCTTTTTCTTTATTTACTTTATTAGATCAAAAAACATTCACAAAAATAAGAACATACCTTCCATATAATATAATATAATATATCGATAATACATAACAAAACAAATAACAACAACAACAACAGGAAGGGGTCTGCTAATTAAGATGATGAAAATCAAAATGTATAAATAAATTAATTGTTACTGTCAATTAATTGTCACTTAAATGTGAGGTTTAGATTTTTAATAAGGTTAAATATGTTTACAAATCTGTAGTTTTAAAACTATAAACAGAGGGTAATTAAATGAATGAAGTATGATTCATTTGCTGATAAAATAATTTATGTTTTATCTTTTTATTAAAACATTTTTAAGGTCAGTCTCAGAAAAGGCAACAAAAGGTAGAGGCATGAAAACATTCCGCAGAAAATCTGAAGTCAAAGAACTCACTTTCCCAGCATTCCGTCTGTTTCCGCTCCTGCGCAAAAGCCCCGGCTTCTCCGCTCAGCGTCAGTGCCATGACAACAGGACGATGGCTGCGGACAGAGGCTGAGAAATGTGATTTCTACGCGAAGAAGGATTAAAAAAAAAAAAAACTCGCGTCTTTGTGGGAGCGGCTCGTTAACAACGTGAAGGTAAGAAAACTCCGAGAGAGGAAAGGTGGAGAAAAGAACAACGAGTGCGTTCTTCACCTGTTAGCTGCCGTTTGTATCCAGGTAACTTGGAGAGCTAGCTAATTAGCCCGCTAAGCTAAAGTTAATTTAGCCGGCTTGACGTGAGCTGTCAGCTAACTAACCTCTGCGGGATGATTCGACTTAAAACAAGAGGATGTGTTGAAGTGTTTTTCTTGTGCTGTCGCTCTTTGTTAGAGGAGTTATTTAGCATCTCATGAGGCTCCTGGGGAGACATGAATGACTCCACAGGTGTTTGTTTAGGTGCTTTCAGAGTTTTCATGGACTGACTGATCTGTTGTCAGGGGAGGAGGGGAGAGCACAGAAACACGAACTACTCAAGTTAGAGGAGAGGAGCTTCTGATTCAAAATGAATCAATTGAAAGCTTCCCTCTCTCAAATGTTTTAAAAACTGTTTCCAGTGCGTCTTTACCTGTAGCACCCTCTACCTGGGCATCAGTCAGTCCTCCCTGTCCCGCTTACACATGTTGCCAAACGCTGCTGCTGGACCTGTTTACTGGAACCAGGAAGAGAGAAAGCATCCCTCTTGTAGTTCTTTCATCTTTGCACTGAAGGCTCCCAGTCAAATACAGGATTGAGTTTAAGGTTCTTTCATTTGTTTGTCAAGGCTTTACGTGGCTTTAACCTTTTTACCGGCTGCAGACTGTGAGGAGTAAAAGAGACTCATCCATTAAAATATTAAGATACCTGTAGCTGACATTAAGTTAAACACACGTGTGTGTCTATTTATCCAGTCTAGTTTGTCCCCTCTGTTCATGGAGATCAGCCGTATTCTGCTTCGGGCCTTTCTTACATTGAAGTACTTTTAAAAATAGTTTGAATCTGTTGTCTTCTTTTGTGTTATCAGTGTTTGAATCAGCCTACATTATCCACCTCCAGGGACAGTGGGGGTACCTCGGAGTTGAGTTTGAAAACTGATGTATGATGACTTTTCCTTCGTGTACAGTATGAGTCTCACACCAGGTTGTTTAACTAAAGGAACAACTTTGTTATAATAAAGTAAAATACAAGGGCTCATTCTGCAGGTAAAAAAAATCTGATACCAATACAATAGTCGATATCTTTCTCAATCTGTAGCGATAGATATAGATATACATTATCCCTCACATGCAGTTATCAAACACTCGTTGGAAAAGATTTAAAACGAAGACAAGATGGCCACTCAACTGGAAAGTAACTGAGCATGAACGTGCATCACCACTTGACACTCTGGAGAGTAATGATGCTCGTCGTTATCCGTATAGCGCCCTCTGATGGTGACAGAGAACTGCAAGTGTAGTACATCCAGCTCTATTTGCTTTAATGCTTTTCCCATTCACCCTGGACTGGTCGACAGTCAATCACCGGGCTGGTGTAATACAGTGAAACTCAGATGAACAGCTGGGATCGGCTCCATTATGCCGCTTGTTTTTAGACATGAATCCTGAGAGTCAGCAGAGCTCAGGACGTCGTCAATCACACGGCTCTGAACACGTTTCCTCGCATCCCCTTCATGCTGACAGAAGACATTAATGCACTTAAGATGTAAAAAGTGCAGGCGATGAGCAACAGGTTGTGCCAAGTAAAGTCTATAGACCCTTTAGACCAAAAGTCCCCAGATCTAAAAGGTTCAGGGACTTCTCTTTAAGGCTCTAAAAGGTTCATGTGGCCCTCAGTTGCCTGCTTCCTGAAGTTCTGGGAAGATTATGCCAATCAGGCTTTTTGTTATGAGGACATGCATGCAGTCCCTGGACCTGGCACCACCCCCCCTAGCAGGGTCTTTTTTAGGGGTAGATCTTTTACCCCAGAACTAAAATTAGACCCTGGTTCCTGCGGTTGAAATGCACATATAGTTCCTCAAAAGGTCCTTGGTCCTGGGGGATAGTTCCTCCGGTCTAAAAGGGGCTTATGAAGCCCAAAGCTGAGCAGCCAGCCGCAGCAGGATGATGCTGTAAGTCTATTAGTTTGTTATAAATAAAGGTGTCGTTACAGGTGAGTGGGACTGGAAAGGGATCCACACCACAATGCCTCCATGTCCACTCTTTATTTCAATCACTTTTATTTTGGTAAGATCAGGAAATAATCAGAATCAGGTTCCACATACAAGGACCAGTTGTACTGGTGCAGAAAGCAAAAAACAGCAGGGCTCCTGAGAGAGAATCAAACAGAAATATAAAAATGTGCAGGATAAAATCTTCATTCATGAGCAATAACATCAACGTGTGAAGAGTTTTATTTTTGGGCCTTTATTTAGAGACAGTGCACTGAGTCAGAAATCAGGAAGGAATCTGTACGTGGACTAATCTGTGTTGATTTGAATATGATTAGTTGATTATCTGAATTTTTTAATTCTTATTTTTTAAGGATTTAGGTCTAATTTAAGTTTAATTTATGTCTTTATCTGTTAAGTGTTCCTAATATTTTAAAAAAACAAAACAATATTTTATACGTTTACATAAAATCACTCCAGAGTTTTGTTTTGTGGCATTCTGCAGATAAATCAATGATAAGAATAAAACAGAACACAGAGACGCTGTAATAAAGAGCGGGAGCAGAACATCATGCAGCTGTTAATGCATTAAATGATTGTTATTAAATTAAGTGATGAATTGTGACGTGAATAATCACAGGTTTAGTTTAGTCTTTGTAAACATTGGTGATTACATCAAAAGTTGAAGGTTGATTCTTTAACACAGCCTCTCGTCTGCTCACGAGGGATTCCTCCTCTGGATTAGCTGACAGTTCCACCTGCTCAGCATTTAGCGAGGAGAAAAGCTCCTTGCCCCCCCCCCCCTTTACTCACTTCTCTCAATGCTCACACTCTGAATCCTGGGGTCATGTGACTGCACCTTCGGCCTGCCATTGGCAGCAGGTGTCAGTGTGGTTCAATGTGAATCGAGAGCCTCAAAGTGCCAACGAACAGTCGGGTTAAAATGTGCTGAAATTTAAATGAATTCAATTCAATTCAAAGGGCTGTATGGACATTAAGTTAAAATTATAACAATAAATATGAAAGACTCAGAGCTGTGCAGGATTGCAAAAGTGTACAGAAAAACTTTTGGTGTTTAACTTAAAAGTTAGGGCCCGACCGATATGAAATTTTGGGGCCGATATCGATATTAGGGAGCGAATAAAATACCGGACAGTGATATATCGGCTGATATCTTTCTTGGATCTGTAGAAATAGATAGATTTAGATATCCACTTTCAGTGTGTTGATCAAAGATTTGTAACAAAGACAAGATGGTCACTCAACTGAAAACTAACTGCACATGTACGTGCATCACCGCTCAACACTCTGGAGTGATGATGCTTGTTGTAGTCCATATAGCGCCCTCTGCTGGTGACAGAGAACTGCTAGTTTAATCCAATGAAAGTCTAATGAAATTATATTTAAACTGATGAATAAATCGAGTAATATTGGCGCATAGCTGTGATAAAATTAGCTGATACAGCTAATATTGGCCGATTAATTGTTCGGGCTGTGTCAAGATTTTGGAATAAAATGTCTTTAAGTTTTTTAACTGTTTGACTAAAGAAGAAATCAGAAGAGCTCTGCAGAAGGGCGGCAGTAGCTCAGTCTGTAGGGACCTGGGTCGGGAACTGGTTGATGTCCCGGTCAATCAATCAATCAATTTTTATTTGTATAGCGTCAACTCATAACAAGTGTTATCTCGAGACACTTTACAAAAAGCAGGTAAAATACCTTACTCTTTGTCTGTTAACATTACAAAAAGCAGGTAAAAGACCTTACTTATTGCCATAGTCCACCGGTGTGGACCAAGTCTGGAAGTTTGTCTGGTAGCTGAAGAGGTGTCACTTCACCTCCTGAGCACTGCCGAGGTAAGGCAAGGCTCTGAATCCCCCAACTGCATAGGATCGTGTTTGTGTATGTGTGTGTATTTCTACCTCTCGGTGAGTCGAATGTCTCAAAGTGTAAAAATAGGATTGGTTACAAACGTCTGACTTCTTGTGCGCTAAATGTTTTCTGTTACAAAGCTCATCGTTGTTGCAGCCATGACAAATAAAGGACTGCACAGATTTCATTTCAAATAAAAATGGCATCACAAATCACTGAAATATCTAACGTTATACTGTTTCTGTTCTCTCTCTCTGTGGAAGCAGAGGCAGCATGTCTCTGTTCAAGGCCCGTGACTGGTGGTCTGCAGCGCTCGGGGAGGGGAGGAGTTCGACCAGGGATGTCTCTGTGTTGGAGACGTGGACAACAGCGGCAGCGGACATGGTCAGTGTGAAGTGAGGAAGAGATACCACCACGCAGCATGATGACTGCATGGCGCCTGCCTATCTAAAAGATATTCTATGTATAAAGACGACTAGATGTACATCGTAGCATTCACAAGGGATTTCTTCTTCTTCTCTGTAGATAAGATCGTGGTGGGCAGCTACATGGGGATGCTGCGAATATTCTCCCCACATGCCAACAAGTCCAGCGAGGGCGCTCCGACGGAAGCCCAGCTCCTGGAAGTCAAGCTTCAAAACGCCATCATCCAGGTGGAAGTGGGCAAGTTTGTCTCGTAAGTCGAAATCACAAACCAGTGAGGAAACACAAGTGTGGAAAAATAAATGTACACATGGTGGACTGTGGGCTGACCACAATGCAGCAGCCAGTATGTCCTCCTTCTAACTTTAGATTCTGGTCCTGAATGCTCTGGATTTGTTTGGACCAGAGAAGGTAGGCGGTTTTAAGGCATCCCCCCACATGGCCGTTTTGGACGCCCCTCGGTTTGCCAGATATGAGAGCAGTTATCAGGTCAACAGGTGTTGCAGCGATGGAAGCGGGCAAGAGAACTGGTTCAGCTAGAAGTGATTGTACCCGACCTAAAAAGCCTCTGCATGTTTCTAATAAGCTCCACGAGCAGAAACGTGCTCAAACTAGGATCAATGTTGGAGATGCTTTTAAAAAATGGAGAGAGGTTAGAACGCAGAAAGGTTTACAGACCGATGCAGAGCTGGCTAAACACTGAAGCTTCAGTGTCCACCACATCAACCTGCAACCTGCGTGAGCATCGACTCTAGAGAGGAGGGGGGAGAGAGACAGCTCTCTACAATGTTAAGAATGTGGACTGCAGTACCCATTTTAAACACTAGGTGTCAGAGTTACATACTGCTCCTTTAATGTTGTTGAATATTTTGTAACTTGAGAGCGGACATTGAGTCAGTATTTTAGGTCTTATCAGTTCAGCTTGTACTTACATGCATGTATTGAATTAGTTCTATCTGTTTTAGTCTTAACACGCTGCCTCTCCTGATAAATCAAGTTTCTGAAGATCTTTACGCTAACACCAGGATCATTGATGGTATTGCTAATCCCTCCTCCCCCCCTCCCTCCAGCCCTGTTGGCTGCCTTCCTGTATGCGAGACATTCACTTATGTGATTGGTTTGTAGGTCAAAATAGCATTAGCCTTATATCCTCTGCCAGGAAGCTGCCTTAAATCTCAGTCTCACGAATTCAGAGCTTCACCTCATTGTCTGAGGACAAATTACAGATTACACTCTCCCTAAGAATTAAAGGCACAACTAGGGTGTAGACAGAAGAGTAATTGTGTCTTTCACCATCTAACTGGAACACCGATTGCAAACACATGTGATCCAGTCAAAATGGTCGGTTCGAGTTTTCTCTGTTCACTCTCACCGTGTCTGCAGCTAACTTAGCAATAGCAACGTCATAAGTCTGTGAACATCCCACACAGACTCTGTGAAACAGCGCTGCGATATAAACACTTTAGATATCCTAGCGGACGCTAAATACACGCTCCACTTCTCTTCCATCACGTGCAGCAGGAGCAGTCAGAGATACACACACGTCCAATAATGAACAGGCTGATTATAAGTGTCTAATATTGACAAAGCTAAATCAAGAGAAAACTTGTTTTGAGGATTAATAATTTATTATTCTCTGATGGATTTTTGTTTTTAGTCTATAATATTGTAATGCAGCGGTGGTTTGGGGGGGGGGGGTCTGGGAACTACTGCCTACAAATAATACAAACAAAAAACGAAGGCCAGCAAATATATTTTTTTTACAATTTCTCAATTTCCTGATCTGATGACATGATCGAATCTGTGACTTAAATGTGTTATTGACTAAACAAAACATAGTGCCTTCTCATTAAATGTACTGTGACAGATGTGTATAGGCCGGTAAAAAAATATGTTTGGCCGGTGATTTTTTTCATCTACCTGCCACCTTGGCCGGTGAGTCAAAAAGTAAATTTCGGACCCTGCCCATCGATGACGGTCGCCATGTTGAAAATGCAGCATTTCTTTGAGTGTCCTTTTGGAGACAGCCTCAAGTGGACACTTGAGGAAGTGCACTTTATTATTGTAGCATGTGCTTCATTTTTAAACACTGCAGGTTTTCCTCTTGGTTTAAACAGCGTCTATATAGAGAATGAGTGTTGATTCATTTACTCAAGTATAGACAGATTGAGAAAATACAGCTGTAAAAGAACAAAGTCTCCTTTGAAGTATGTTACATACTGCACATTGATATTATAGGCCTCCTGAGGGGCATGAAGATTACAGGACAGCAGTTTTGTGCAGTCTGGCCACCCTGAAAGCCGTATCTGTTTGTGTTTTTTTACGTCCTGAGATCTGACTGAAACAGCATGTCATGACCTTCGATGAATTAGAAACGTTCATGGTATAGCCTTATTATAAACTGCACTGCAGAAATACCCATTCATAACTCATCACACCACTTTTTCTTTCATAGAAAAACCATCCCTGCTTTCAGTTACCACAACATTAACGTGTCTTTTCTTCCCCCTGCAATGCATGCTAATCCAAAACCACCGCGTCGGGGGCGTTTCTCCCCTTGTCATGATTTACGGCGACCCAGCAGCCCAAACATAGTTGTGCTTTTAACGTCGGGCTAACCACTGAGATGCTAGCATAGCTGTTGGGACCACATCCTGCTTTGTTGTTGCACTGTGTCGTTGGATCTCAAGAGCTGACCCCCTCAGAGTCACGGTCAAGTGAAATGTGCAAATGACTGGTTTGGATGCAGTTAAGATTCAGTGACCCGTCCCAAACAAACATATTTGTGAGAAGTGGTTGCAACCATAGATAGCTATGAGATGACAGGGTAGATCTGATGATTGAAACTCAAATATTTTAAGAGACAAACTGAAACTTTTGAATTTCAAACAGGATTTAGGTTTTTCAGTTCTCTGGCAGCCATACTTAGAAATAAACAATGTTATTACTTGGTAACGTTTTTGCCACTGACAGGATCAGAGTACCACTCAGAATGATTGTGGGCCTTATGCTACTAAAACTGAGCAAATGATTCCCAAAACACACACAAAGGGTTAAACGTGCCTCTAACTGCGCTGCAGAGCAAACAGCGTCTCTGTGTGCTGTGTGTATTTAAAGGCTTTATATCTGATTTTTCACACTTAAATGTAATAGAAATCAAGTATATCCTCTGAAAATAACTCTGTGAGTCATGACTGTGATGCTTTCAGAGTTTTCAGAGTCCTATCTTCACTTTGTTTACATCACCGGGACGGCCGGCTGGCTCCTCCCCTCGCGTATAAAAGTTGTTTAAGTGAGGGACTAGAGAAAAGAAGAATAACATACTGTACTCACTGCTTAACTGTGTTTCTAGATCACGCTCATTTCGGGTAAATTTACATGCAGTGTGAAGATACGGGCATAATAAAGATCGCTAGCATTAGCATGCTAACACAACAATGCAGCGCGATTTGTTTTGGTTTCATGCTGGTGCTCAAGGGCGACAAGGGCAAAAAATCGCATATAAAGCCTTTAAAGTCATTATTTAGTTGTCTGGGGAAACATTGTCCTCTTTGTAAATCAGCCTCATTGTAAAAAAGTCTAACTCACCAACAGGGGGCGCTAGCGGCCATGCAGAGTTAGAGTGAATAATGAGCGTCAGCAGAGAGTTGGTGGTAACTGCGCCACAGTATTTATAAGAGATGTGACGTTCAAACTTTCCAGAGATCAGATAAACACTTCCACCTCTGTGTGCCTTCAAAATAAAAGCTCTGTAAATAAAGTAAATCTGACTTTGACATGACTATTATTAAAATGACCAGGGGTTAAATCAGTCCGACAGCAAGCTAAGATTTCTGTTGTTCTTCCTGGCTTTGGAATGAGAAATGTAAGGACGGTTTCTGATTTAAAACCATGTTTCATACGTTTACCCTCTGCATGGTTTCTGTAATGTGGACACATTTACCCCATAAAGGATTATGTAGCCGTGATTAGAGCATCTGATCCAAACACTTAACCTCCCAGTGCCTCGCCATGGGACACAGGAACCTGACAGAAAGCTCTGTTTCTGGGAATAGCTCTGGTGGTTTGCCTTGGAGGCTTCCCACATCATCATGCTGGAAGCAGAATCCAACTAAATCAGTGTGTTTGGAAGCTGTCGTGTTTGGTTACCTGCGGTTTGCAGCACAGCCTTCTCCACAGGCTGGTGGGCACTTTGGACGCCGGCCTTGATGGAGAAACACATTGTAAATATCGTTAGGGCAGACCGAGGAGGGCAGATGGTGAAAGTTTGTGTTTGGTTTTCCAAGTAGAAAGGGAAAACTTGTGAGGTTCATATTTCTCTTGTTGTTCTTCTCTCAACAAACACGACAACAGCGGTCGAAGGTTACCAAGACAGCACTTTGTCTCGCTCCAACACGTGTGGCTTTGGGGGAAAGTAAACACGGGAAAATCTCGGATCAGCATCACTGAGACCATCATCCACACCTCAACCGTGACCAGCGTTAAAAAAAAAAAAAATCCTCCAGCTGTCACAGTAATTATTTCAGACGTATAAGTGAGCTGAGAACATGGTTCAACCACAGTGGTAGGAAACATCTGCCCTGCTGAGAAACCAAACCTTCAGCTGCTCTGAACCTTCCTCAATCATTTTAATATCTTTATAGAGAAACAAGAAGAAAACACATGAAAGGAGGAGACATCCATGCTCTCCTATATGACTCTGTGTTAAAGATAAACTTTATTGATCCCCAGCTCAAGAAACATGAATATAATTTTTAAAAAAATACAATAATAAAATAATACTAGGTATGTACACTTCCACTTGTGGAAAGAGTTATTATTATTAAAAACGCACACAGTGTGTAGCATTATTGATGAGTCATGAGTTGGTGATGCTGTTAGAGTCTGATTAAACAGTCTAACTACAGATGCGGTAGCGCTCTGTCTTGCATGGTGGGTGTCTCAGTCTGCTACTGAAGGAGCTGCTCAGGGTTAGGCTGCATAGAGCGGAGGTTTGTGATTACTGTAAACATCTCAGAATCTGTAAAAAAAAAAAAAATGAATTAACTGTAAGTAATTAAATTACACCTGCCGTATTTATGTTCTCAAAAAGTCGGGACAGATTTTCTGCGTAAACCTGCAAGAACCTCCACGCTAAGCCCAGCTGGTCTCTGGGAAAAGGAGGCAGAATTTGGAGCAAAGCAAACAAGACATAGGTGTGAAAGCACTCTGCATGCTGTCTCAACCCTTCTCATGAGGACGGTCGAGTCTTTGACCCACTGTCAGCTTTTAAACTTTAACTCTCTACTGTAACTTGTAACTCTTTTTATATTTTTACTTTATTTATTTCATTTGAATTATTTTTATTTGAACATATTTTCAGATTTAATAATTTCAGTGATTTTTAAATGTTCTATTTTAATGTTTCTTTTCTTTCCTCTTTCATGAAGCTTTTGATATCTTGTGTGAAGCACTTTGAATTGCCTTGTTGAAATGTGCTATATAAATAAACTTGCCTTGCCTCAAGGATTGCTTCCCTCAGAGGTTGTACAGATTCAGTAACGTGGTCGGACATTGAAGCTCAGCAGCTTAAAAGTACCATATGTCATTTGATAATAACGATCAGTGTGATGATGTGATTGGTGAGTCTGATTGTGGTCGTGTGTGAACATATTCTGACGGGACGTTTTGTGCTCTTCTCAGTTGCTCCGATCTTCTTCATCTGGCGGTTTTACATCCCAGGAAGTTGTCGGTCTACTCCGTGTCAGGTAAAAACATAACCTTCATTTCACCTTCAGAAGCAGCAGACAGACATGTTTCATCTGACCTCTGACCCCTGTGTGTAAACAGGCACTGCAGGGAACGTGGAGCACGGTGACCAGTACACGCTGAAGTTGGTTTACGAACACAACCTGCAGAGGACGGCCTGCAACATGACCTACGGCGCCTTTGGAGGGGTCACAGGTGAGACGACGTTTTGATTTCTTTATATGGCTGCACGCTTGATATCTTTTTCTTTGTTTTCTTTGGCCGTTGCTCACTTGAAGTTCTTGGAGGTTAAATACTTTTTTCAGGGTCTAAGAGTTACCTTGGCATTACCCCGAAGATACCTGAGGCGGGAATAAGACTGCCTGTTCAACAGGAAGCAGAACGAGCTTTATCCGCTTGGTGTTTCTCCTCACTGTGATCTGTGATTATATTTTCTCTTCTTTGCTGCTACGTCCACGTCCGTCATATTCCCCGGTTTGAATCACCTTGTATCCACTCCTAAACTCACCTGCTGCGCTGTCATTGGCTGGAGGAAATACACCAGCTCTGCCCAGAAACATCCCGAGTCAACCAGAACAAAGCAGAACAGTAAAATCCAGTCAGGACAGGGTCTCTGCAGACACAGTCACCACCACACATGTACGGAGGCCCAGAAGGGACGATGGAGCAGCTTCACTTTAGGAGAAGTCTGTGTTTTATTTTGAAGGCCCTTACATAAGTCTGTATTTTATTTTGAAGGAGGAAGCTGTTAGCTGTTACCTGTTAGCCAGTTAGATCCTGAGGTTTAAAAATCTCAGAGTTTCCCTTAAGGTCGAGGTTAGAGGCCAGGCACCGTGTTGTGTCAACGCCGGTCCTCACAAGTGAGTACATATGTGTGTGTTTGAACATCTGTGCATGTGCCTTGGCATGTGTGGTAATTGGCAGCAGTGGACAAATACATAAAACTATAAAAGTCTCTAAAGGAGCGGAGGATGGAAACAGAGAGGGGTCATATAGCTGCTCTCTCTGCAGTCAATTGAGCTTTTTGGAAAAAACAAGTAGGGGAAAGCCCTCGAGTCGTCAGCGTCCAAGAAAAACACACACGCAGACACACAAACGCGCATACACGGGGAACCCCCTTTAAAGCAGAGAAAATGTCATTTCCAAATAAAGGAAGCTTTGTTAAGGTGTGTGTGAGGGCAGAAAATGCCAAAGTCTGCGGCCTGGCATGATGGACACTTCATTCACTGCTTATTTAGAGAGTCAGTGTGTGCGTGTGTGTCTGTGTGCGTGTGTGTGTGTGTGATTGATAGAAATTGCCCTGTGGGCTCATTAAAGCCAGTACCTTGGCGTGGCTGAACGCACGTGGTTAGTTGTACCATGAACCTGTAAGAGAGCGTGTGTGTGTTTCCACGTGCTGTTACCACACTGTGCAGCAGGTTTTAGAAATGTCATGCATGCTCTCAACTTCCAACAAACAACCCACAGAGCCACATGTGCTGTCCTAAAACACACACGCAGACACACACACACACACACACACACACTGTTGGTACGTATTTTCATGGATTCATTCATCTTGTTAATTATGTGGATATATCTTTAAATTGTGTAAACCATCTCAGAGTAATTCTTCTTTTAGGTTTGTGACGCTGTAATACATATGTGTAGGAGACATCATAGCAGCAGAGTTATATTTGGATTGGAGCCAAGTGTCTGTTGTGAGCAGAGAAAGAAATGTGACTGTGAGACTGAAGAGATGTATATGTCTGATATTTAGTCAAGGTGATGTCTTCTTTCTAGCCTTTTAGAGATGAAACGAAGTAGCCAGGAATTTGTGGGCTGTACCTTCTAGCAGAATATAAGCAACACTGTAGATGAAGACTTTGCCAATGTTTGTCAATGATTGCAAACGATTGTGAGATCTTGGTCAGCATGGGTCAGCGATGGTCTGCACTTTGTCAGCCATGTGTGTTGTGTTCTATGTTGTCTGACCACGGCTGAATAAATCTAAGATGATCCACAGTCTGTTTCACAATTTCATCATTGTTCATCTACAATAGAAACAACCCCCACCTAACACACACACACACACACACACAGATCCCTTCAGATTTGCTTGTGTGTTTGTGAGTTATTGTTCAAACTTACAGATACAGCCCCTCCCTTGAATACACTGTTTTCTTCCCTCTAATTGATGCCATCCTCTCTCCTCCTGCTGTTCTCTGCTCTCTCCACTAGATGGCAGTGCAGGCCCTGCAATTGCTAATCCTAAACTTGAATGAATGGGATTTTGTCATGCCTCTCTTTACGGGGAATTCCCTTTTTACCCACATCTCTCTAAAGGGAGGTCAAAGTTCAGCCAAAGAGCAGTATCCCAGGAGCTGGTCACAACTCAGTTTGTAGCTTCTGTCACATCTTAATGTACCTAATCTGTCATTCTTAATTATTATTTACAGTATGTTTGAAAACTGGATTCTAATCAGAGGTTACCAAACTGGACTCGAGTTTCACAACAGGACAGCGTTTATGTTTCTCACACGTCCTCCTACAAAATACACTTTGAATTTGTCTCTGTGGGTTCAGATTCCGTGTTGCTGTATTTGTGATCATCTGAGAGTGTTTGAGTCGGGGAAGCTGCTCTCCGCTTGAGAGTTTCTCACAGTTTACAGGAAAATTAGCCAATCTCACGGTTGATTGGCTGACGTAGCGCACACTCACACACTTGTAATGACTTGCAGACACATGAGAGAGCACAAAATCAAGTCCAAACAAACAGAGAAATATATGTATCCACTAAAAATACACACACACACACACACACACACACACACACACACACACACACACACACACACACACACACACACACACACACACACACACACACACACACACACCAGCCAGCCAGCCAGCACGGAGTACAGAGGGATGTAGCTCTGAGGCCAGAACAGTGCGTGCGTGTGTGTGTGTGTGTGTGTGTGTAGATCTATAATAGCAGCCATTTAGGAGTGCTGTAGGCGCTGTAACAGCTAATACTGCTCTAATAGCTGGGCAGCCCTGGTTTGGGTCACATTCAGGCCACACACACACACACACACACACACACACACACACACACTGGCCATTTCAAGCTTTAGTGGATGCGTAAAGATAAAGATATATGGTGCTTTCACAGTTGCACAATAAGTCCAGAAAAATCCACGAGCAAGCGGGAGGGGGAGATGACGTTTATATCCACCCCTCACTCCTGTCCAACAGAAAGTCTCCCGCTGTGAGGTGCATGTGTAAACAAGCAGGTCAGGAAGATACAGGGGCAGCCTCCCTGAAATCTTGTGAGTGGAAGCAGCTTTAGACACAATCATGCAAGAAACATATTAACATATGCGCTCCCTCATTCATTCACACTCTCATTCCTACAAGAACGCACATTCTTTCTCTCTGTCTCACACACTCTGTGTCTGCCGTGTGCAGCCAGCCTCTGTGCTCTGTGTGCTTGTCCAACACGTCTTATTAATGACACTAACACAGGCCCGTTTCCTCCGCTGAGCCTGAGCGCCGGCGCTCCCATACAGACCTCTTTGACACGTTTATACCTGGGCGTGGGTGTATGAAATTACACATGCACGGTTGCTATTATAGTGCATACCCTGGCTCTCGTTTTGTGATTTCTTATTATTGATGATAGCGGGCTGTGTCAGGATGTCTGAGTGTGTTGTGTGTTGAGACTGGCACAGCGTTGTAGACACCTGACAAATCACTTAAAGGTCCATGTAGGAGGAAAGTCCACCCCTCAGGTGTTCTGATGGAGTCCTGACAACCAAAAGCATATTTTCAGTCAATTTAGATTATCAGGATATTTGTCTCAATAAAGGAGATTTTTACAACAGCCTGGAGAGCCAAACACACTGCAGCTGAAGAAGAAGAAGTTATCTTCAACATGTTGCAAACACATGAAGCATGGTGTTAAAGTCAGGCTGTGAAGAATACCACATTAAATAGCCCCTGAAACACTGTTGTTGTCACCATGTCTCCTGCTGCACATGATTTTTAAAATTATGAAGATACCGTCTTTATTTGGCTTTATTTCGACCATAGATTGTAAATATGAATGTTCCTGCAGGGGGCGCTGGAGTCCCATCGATGGCGGTCTCCATGCTGGAAATGCTGTCTCAGCCTAACTTTCAGTCAACCTAACGACAGGCTGAGAGCTGGAGCTGAGGCGGGATTTAAGCCTCCTGACAAACTGTTACACCGCGCCCCCTGTCAATCAGGTCAGCTACACGCTTTATTGTGAATAACTCTTATCCTTCATCAAATCAAAACTGATGAGTCATCAAAACATTCACCCCCCCGTACAGTGTGTGTCGATCGAGACATGAGCTAATCAGACCTATTTAGTTTTTTGAACCAGGCTGTAAACATGCTTATCTCTGCTGTAAAAACAGGCTTTTTAGAATGGCTGTGTATGCGACTTCCTGTGCTTCTGCAGCCAGCATCTAGTGGACTACAGCCCCTGTTCATGGGGTGCACAAATTAACCACTAGGCCCAGGTGTCACCTGCCTCCTCCGTTTTAATAGATGAGTCAAACTATAAAGTTTAAATATGCTTTTGTACAACAGAAGGAGACTGAACACACTGTCCATCTTTATATAAATTTTAATGTAAAGTCTGTAAATACAGAGATGATCGAATGTTGTCTCATGCACACGGCAGGGTGTGTCTGTGGTGAGAGAGACCGCGTCCTGCAGCTTAACTGCCTCCCTGAACTCCACACAACACTCACACACACACACACACATACTCACACACATGTGTTTACACAGAATGGTGTGAAGGAGTGTGCGTCTTTTCAGTCTAAATCCTTGGTGAGAGATGTTGAATGGGAGTGTGTGTGTGAGTGTGTGTTGCGCTGTAGGTGGCTGTCTCCCTGACCTCTACTTGATGGCAGTGTGAGTTTTAATAGCGCGTTGAGGCCTAATTATAGTTCTCTAGTCACACAGCCACACTGCTTTATGACCGTGTGTGTTGCCGTGTGTTTGTGTGTGTGTAAGGATTCAGGTCCGTCCGCACAAACACACACTCTAGTACACACACACAGCCAGTTGTGTGTGTGTGTGTGTGTGTGTGTGTGTGGAGGTGTTAATGGAGATATCAGATTCAGCCAGAGGGAGAAACACACCTCGCAGCACAACACGACATCACGGCTGAAGTAAAACAGAAGCCCTAAGCGTCTTTCAGGATCACTGGGATTTAAAAAGTTGAATGTTTGAAGGAGCAGAGTGAGAGAATGTAGAATATGTTTTAACTCACAGTGAGTCTGCGTACACATATCTGAACACTTCAATCAAATTAAGTATCTGCTGTCACACAAAGACTCTTGGAAGCTCAAATTCATGCACTGTGTTCAAGGAAATAACAAATTAATTATGGACGCTACATTAAAGGTCACATATCCTCCTCCTCTTCAACCAGTGTAAATAAGTCTCAGAGCTCCTCAAAACATGTTTGTGAAGTTTCTTGTTCTAAATCCACTCTGATCCTGTATTTGTTCATGCCTATAAACCCCTCTATTTCAGCCCTGCTCAGACAGGCTGTTTCTGTGTCTGTACCTTTAAATATGTAAATGAGCTGTGTCTGACCACGTCCCCTCTCTGGAAAGGCTCAGGTGTCTCAGGCTTTCTCTATTGTTTACGGTGAGAAGGCAGACTCAGAGGGCAGAACAAACACCTAGCTGTGGGAGTGTCACCCACCTGGGGGGGACACATATTAGTGTTAGAGAAACATGGGGAAGAGGATTTTGCATATGTGACTTCTGACATGTTTATCATGATCAAACTTTTCTTTCAGTCTCGCCTCCCTGTGCTCACAGAGCCATTAACAAGCTGCCTTAAAGAAAGAAGATTCCATATTGACTTTTCTTTGACGTGTAAATATCGTCTCTCTCCATCAGGTCACCACTCCCTGTGTATCCAGTCCATGGACGGGATGCTGATGTTCTTCGAGCAGGACAGCTACTCCTTCGGCAGGTTCCTCCCGGGGTTCCTGCTGCCCGGCCCGCTGGTCTACAACCCCAGGACAGACAGTTTCCTTACTGTGTCCTCTGCACGCCAGTTGGAGAGCTACAAGTGAGTCGCTCCTTTTATCTTCTTGATATTCTTTCTCCCATAAGATGTTTTCTGAAGTCTCCTGATTATATCCTGCTGCGTTCTCACATTAGCTTAAACCAACTTCACTCGGAAAGTTTATTTTGCCGCTGGCAGGAAAAACTCTGGGGGGAAAAGTCAAAAGCGATTTTCAGATGTGCACGAACTGATCCAGATATTCTCCTGACCTGGTTGTTCACACATGCACCTCCTGAAGTAGCAGAACAATGAAACAATGCAGCTCACCCTGTAGACATCAGGAGTTCTTCAGGAGTTTGTTTGAGTGCCATCTTTTCACTCTAACCCTTTGAATTCTTCCATCCATTATCTATACCGCTTTCTCCCATTTGGGGTCGCGTGGGGCTGGAGCCGATCCCAGCTGTCATTGGGTGAGAGGTGGGGTTACACCCTGGACTGTTAAACAGCCAATCACAGGGCTGACATATAGAGACCGACAACCAGCCACTCTCACATTCTCACCTATGGACAATTTAGAGTCAGCAGTTAACCTAACGAGCATGTCTTTGGACTGTGGGAGGAAGACGGAGTACCCGGAGAGAACCCACGCATGCACCGAGAGAACATGCAGACTCCTCACAGAGAGGCTCCTGTCAGACGGGGATTCAAACCAGGAACCTCCTCACAGAGAGGCTCCTGACAGATGGGGATTCAAACCAGGAACCTCCTCACAGAGAGGCTCCTGACAGAGAGGCTCCTGACAGACGGGGATTCAAACCATGAACCTCCTCACAGAGAAGCTCCTGACAGACGGGGATTCAAACCAGGAACCTCCTCACAGAGAGGCTCCTGACAGACGGGGATTCAAACCATGAACCTCCTCACAGAGAAGCTCCTGACAGACGGGGATTCAAACCAGGAACCTCCTCACAGAGAGGCTCCTGACAGACGGGGATTCAAACCATGAACCTCCTCACAGAGAAGCTCCTGACAGACGGGGATTCAAACCAGGAACCTCCTCACAGAGAGGCTCCTGACAGACGGGGATTCAGACCAGGAACCTCCTCAGAGAGAGACTCCTGACAGACGGGGATTCAAACCAGGAACCTCCTCACAGAGAGGCTCCTGACAGACGGGGATTCAGACCAGGAACCTCCTCACAGAGAGACTCCTGACAGACGGGGATTCAAACCAGGAACCTCCTCACAGAGAGGCTCCTGACAGACGGGGATTCAAACCAGGAACCTCCTCACAGAGAGGCTCCTGACAGACGGGGATTCAGACCAGGAACCTCCTCAGAGAGAGGCTCCTGACAGACGGGGATTCAAACCAGGAACCTCCTCACAGAGAGACTCCTGACAGACGGGGACTCAAACCAGGAACCTCCTCACTGTGAGGAGACAGAGCTAACAACTGCACCACCATGCAGCTCCTCTGAATTCTTCATGTACATTAAAACACGTTTTCTTTCACACCGACAGAAGAAAACAACGTTACAAAAAGCTGAATAAAAAAGAAGCATATTGAAGAGTTATTTCAGACTTTGTCAGATCAATATTATATTATTATAAAAAGGCCCAAATACACGTCTATCACTCTGCTAGTGTGTAAGCTGAAGCAGACATGGAAGTTATTCGAGGTAACCGTTTGTTATCAAGCTTCTCAGAATCAGCTGCGGACGGTTAGAGTCGCTTCACCATCTTTAAAGCATCTGCTCTCCCTGCAGAGCTCGCATGGATCCACCAAAACACACACACATGGTCTGATCGGAAAGTACCTCACTTTAATTTAAGCACATGCACACTTCCCCTGCCCCTCTGGCCGAGGCATGGAGGGCTTGCAGAAGTCTCACAGACCGTGTGAGTGTTCACTGTGCGTGTCTGTGAGGCTTCTCTCCCAGCTGGTTGTTATCTGGATGAACCCCCCCACCGGTATCAAGAGCTTCTCCAGACTCCATTACTCTCCCTGGACACACAGACACAAACACAGCTTTGCCATGCACATACAGTACTGTAGTACCTTACAAAGAGCAGACGCCGTGTACCTTCTGCTTTACTCAGAGCAATAGGCGTGTCTGCATCTCTTACAGTTAGTCTGGTGAGATCATGTAAACATTCAGTGGACGTGTGTTGATCCAAAGCAGGAGAGCTGCTTGGTGAAACAATTACATTCAAATAATTGTGTTTGTTTCTATTTCTCAAAGTCTCATCGGGACTTCAACTGCAGTATGAACGAGTCTGGCTCCTCAAAAACTGTGTATGAGAACACACCATGTTCATGCAACACACACACTTTTAAATGTCAGACATAAAAAAACACACTTTGTTGCTTGATGCAGCCAGTGTGTGTGTGTGTGTGTGTGTGTGTGTGTGATGGTGTGTGTGTGTGTGTCTTGTTCTCCCTCCTTGTGTTTTTGGCATGCAGGTGAATAATTACATTTTTGTGGTTTTCATGTCTTTCTGTCGTACACACACACACACAGTCGTACACACACACAGTCCTTTGTGTGAATTCTACCCTCTTTCATAATACTTAATTCACCATCAACCACCAACTGAGCACACACACACACACACACACACACACACACACACACAGGCACAGTTTTAATTCATTCATTCCTCATATCGGGTCATTAAAAAGACTTCTAGAATAGAATTAGCCAAACAGAGTGAGAGGCTTCAGTTATTTTATGGCGTAATTTTAGTATTATTAGACTGAATTTATTCCATTCACCCGAGCAGTGGACACACCGGGCCTGTTATGCATCACTCTGTATCCCAGCATGCTTTGCGGAAACGAGCCACCATCAGGCCCCGTGTAGTGGGTGATGAGGGCGGCTTCACTTGCAGTCAAGACGTCCAAAAAAACAAAAACATGTCCGCAACATGTTTGAGCCTCTGAGCGAAACATTAACAAGCTGAAGGAAGCGCCATCCGGTCAGTGTGAACACAGAGCGGAGAACAACAAACACAGATGGAGTTTGAGTTCGTTATTTAGAAAGTCTTCACTCAATGAGTGAGGATATATTTGAGATATGCTATATTAATGTTTAAAATGTTGCATATTACACCTTTAAATTATCCTTCTACTTGTGAAAAAATGCTGAGACGGGGAAAAGTTGTTATGTAAAGACCGTTGGTGTGAATCGCAAGCGCTGCCTAAAATGTGGCAGCCATATTGGATTGTGGTCCTCATGATTTAAGGCGGATTTCAGGCCTGCCAGCTTTGATTAACAGCAGGTCAGCAGTCCAAATCTGTAACACAGAGTGAGAAAACTGAGTGGATAAATCAGAGGTTATGTTGTGTCACGGGCTGCGGTCTGGAGTCGGGCCGGGTTCGGGTCTGGACCTCTCTCTCCGTCCAGGTGTTGGAGGATAGATTCCCGCCAAGGTGCTCAGACTGCCAGCGTCTTACTGGAAAACTCACAATGATGAAGATGCCAAAATCAACTGACCACAGATCAGCCTGACCACTTTCTGCTCAGCCAGGTGCCAGCAGCTCGCTGATTAAAAGTGATGGACCGCAGCGCCGGGGGACAGCAGGTCAGCAGCTTGTTGACCGACCTGACACAAACCGTGAAAGAGGAGGAGAGTATGAAACACCAGCTCTTAATTTAGTTAATGATGACCATGTCAGTCAGTGTTTGACTTTCATTTAGGTATGAACTAATGATGCACACAAAGATTTCTGCCTTGAAGACCAGGTGCCCCCCCCGGAGAGAAGCTGCTGTTTCGGTCTTAGAGAAGCAAAATATGAGCTTCCTCTGGCTCTGCTTCCTGTTTCACAGCCTGTCAACAAACAACTGGCACAAAGTACAAACACATTTAAGAACAGGAGATTAAAGTCGTCTGTGTCCTTCTGATTTGCAGGTACGAGACTCTAGCTGTAGCTACGGATGCAGAAAGCCGACAGGACCCTGACGTGCCTGTGAAGACCGGAGGCAAGAGGCTGACGGTGAGTCCTTAACAAACTAGATTCCACAGATTCAGTTAAGAAAGTCCTGATGAGGCTGAAAATGTGTGAACAGCAGGATTGTGTGTTCTGTTTCCAGCTTCACCATAAAAACCTTTACATCATCATCCTGTTTATATTAAAACATTTTAACCAGTAAAAGACTGAAGATGGTCTGACTCGTCGGCGCCGTACGCGAGCGGATAGTTTCAGCTAGCTAGTTAGCTAACAGTAAACTTATAACCTTGTTCTGGTGCAGTGAATGAAACACAAACTAAAAGATGTTACAACACCTGTATCAAGAGTATGAACAAGATAACAACCACTAAAGGTAAGTTTAAGAAGAAGAGGGATCAGTCGCAATGCAATGAGCGATGTGTAGTTCATGACTTTGGACGAAAAGTGATACACACAGTCTTTGCCTTATCTGTTTTTTTAACACTGTTTTGGCGCCGAATCAAATGTTTTGTCATCTCGAGTATTGGGGTCACAGTTACGAAAATAGTGAGCTCCAGATGTTTTTCTCTTAAAGTTTCCTATTCAAGGCATTTCAGGGCACGCAAAACTCATGCCTTCAAATGCAACCCAAGCCAAACACCCGGCCGACAGCTCACTCACATTTACTTCCTGTTAAATCATGAAGTGAATGATCCGCAGATCTAGGCGGTGAGTGCGTCTTGTTAACAATGAAGCATGACTTTGAAGCATTTCATGAGTATTTTCAAAGTAAAAGCCTCCTAGGGCTTTGTGGATTGATTAGTAACCTTTTTTTATGGGCTTATTTTTGCAAAATTGCAAATTACCGAGGTCCAGACCCTGGTGACCTCATAGCTGGTTATGGTCGTGATTGGGGTAACTGGTTGTCATGGTAACAGGTTTGGATGTCTTAATGTCAGGATTTTGTGAAATGTCAAAGGAGGATTTCAACTGAGAAATTTACCATCACCGTTGAGCGCTTTAAAATAAATGACTGATGGATTTCTGAGCCTTTATAAACAGTTTGTGAAAGATGTTCACACAGAGTAATAGACACTAAAGGTGTACTTCCTGCTTATTGTTGTGAAAACTGAAGAAATCTGTGCAGTGTTTTATAAAGATGTTTGTTTGTTTGTTTGTTCTCCTTCAGCCTGATTGGACCTTCGTCCTGGGAGAAGTGGCCCTGGACCTCTCTGTGCCCCTGTTCTCTCACTCCTCCGCCTCCATCTTTGTTCTGGGTGAGAGGAACCTCTACTGTTTCCGCGACAACGGCCAGATCCGCTTCATGAAGAAGCTGGAGTTCAACCCGAGCTGCTTCCTGCCGTACACCTCAGGTAAGCCAAGACTTCGGCGGATTAAAACGATAAAACTGACACACTGTAACAGCTGTTACATCACTCTCTTTGTTCTCTCCATCGACAGACTGATTTAAGGTGTGTCTCGCAAGGGATCCTCTCATTAATTTGGCGCTGAGGATAACGATATCAATCTGTTGCAAACACAGTGGACACAAAAAGGGAAACAAATTAGAAACATGGACACAAATATTTAATTCTGCATTTTTACTGCTCAATGAATTGTTCTGCTTCCATATTAGATAACATTTTTAACTGTTAAAGATCCAACAGCCCACCCTCAGGACCCTGCGTGCACGGGTTGTGTGTTCTCAGCTGTGCGATTGTGTACCTAACAGCTGAGTACGTAAAACTAATCTCATACATATCTAGAAAAGCTACTGTTTCAATGATAAACAACACAGCAGCCACAATCTGCTCATCTGTCTGACCAATGACAAACAAACAATTTTTACTGTCTTATTACTCACAATTTAAAGATTTACTGAAGTCATCCAGTCCTAATATTCCAACAAAAACAGTCCTGCTGCGTCATTAAGGGTCCAAATGATCCAAATCCAGAACAAGATTTAATCCAAACACATCCCGACCATAAAGATCCACAGACTGATTCAAATATGACACTTCTCTCCTGATTTTTCAGTGTATTTCATAAACATGGCGACTCAGACCTTTCAACTGGCGCCTTATTTGGCTTATTAGAAGCTTCCATTTACTGTTCCCAGCCTGTATTAGCCAATGAGAGCTTCTGGGGATACATATGCTGCAGACGAGGCTGGCAGCGCGACTTTGCTCAAGTAGATTGCTCCTCCTTCTTCCCCTCTGCACAAGATGTTGTCTTAGAGAGAAGAGAGCAACAAGGTCGAGATAGACTGAAGCTCAGCTGTGTTCATCCTGGAGTAAAGTACCGGGCCACAGGCCACAGGCACACCCTGCATCAGCGCATGCTACAACAAAAAGAAGTGAACAACTTAATTAAAAAAAGAAGAAGACAACACAATCTGTGCAGTGTGGCCGAATGCCACCAAACTGTCTCTGCAGGAAGCTACTTCTGGCCGAACATGATGGAACACATGGAGCCTCTGCTGCATGCGTTAGAGCCTGAGCACACTTCTCACCGTGTTGTAGTGTATTAACAGATGGTGCAAGAAGGATGGATATCATAATGAATACAGACATATACATTGACAGATAATATATACATTGTTGCAGCCAAGTGAATGCAGTGTTTCTCCTTATTTGGTGATTTTTTAAAAGAGACAGGCAGATTAACCCTGTGTTTCTCTGAGGGGTTTTCCTTGAGGGGTAGTGGCCCTTGTCCCACCTGGCAGGAAGGGGAAGCAGGGAAAACTTTTTACTTAACTTCAGCAAAACAAGAGGGGACAGTAAGCATAACAAATGATGCTTTGTGCATTACCCCAAATTTCCACATACTCTGAGTGTCTCTTCAGACATCTTGGACCTTAAATACAACAGAATAAACGTTGTGTTCGACCTTTAGAGCGTTGAGCAATAAACAACCTTTTAAAGAGGTTTGGTTACAGCACCAGAACTGTTCTGTCTGCCTCATTTTATTGAACAATGTACCACAGAACAGAATATGACACTTGATATGAAATCCACTGGAGAGCTGACAGATGGAAAGAGAGAAAAAAAAAAGAAGGAAAGCACAGAATAGACTGGAGGAATGATCCAGAAACAGAGAACTGATGGAGAAACTGCAGGAACGGCCAGGAGCTTTGTGCTGACTCTGTTTTCAATTTGAGAAAGAAAATATGTGAGTGCCCTCCTCTATCTGTTCCAGACATCATTTAGATGATTCAAATTGCTCTTGGAAATTGGCTTTAAATGTAATCCTTGATGTACAAGTGCACAAAAGCAGCTTTTATTGGGACATGATTCCTGTCAACAATCAAAACCGCATAAAAATTCCCACATGGCTGGAAGAGGACAGCTGCTGGGATTACTCTGCTGCTGTCCTTTGTGCCTGTGTTTGTTTTTTGTTTAAGTGTTTACAGGACAACTTAAGAGACACTCTGACTGTCAAAGCAGCCACCTACCACTCAGTGAGGCTTTTATTGTCAAAAAAAACCAACCCTTGAAGTTGTGAGTGTAGTGTAGGGACGGTTAGACAACAGTGGCCTCCTGAGTGTTTCCTCACTCTTTCCTTTTGGCCTTCAGCCTCACAGCTGTCTCTGCTGGACCGCTGCACTCTCTCTCTCTCTCCCTCTCTCTCCCTCACTCTCTCTCTCCCTCTCTCGCTCTCTCGCTCTCTCTCTCGCTCTCTCCCTCTGTCTGCCTCCCTCTGTCTTTTTCTCTCCTTCTCAAATATCTTTATTGGCCTGACTGCTCCTCAGAGACACCACAGTTCAGCTGAAAGATGCTAAACCACTCAGTTTGAGAAATAAGAATATGAAGTGCAAATCTGAGACGGATTAATTTAGCTATTGGCTCGTTGGATGATCTAAGGAGTACGAAAGAACAACGTCCTCTGACCTCTACAGTCACCAGATGTTATCCCAACTGAGGATCTATGTTTGATTTATCCGTTACCAACACAAAAACATCGGCGAATCATAGACTGTAAATATTACTGGACGAAGCCTGAGTCACCCGTCTGCACCTGCAGGGGGCGCTGGAGTCCCATTGATGGCGGTCGACACAACAGGCTGAGAGCTGGAGCTGAGGCGGGTTTTAAACCTCCTGACAAACCGTTACACCGCGCCCGCCTGTCAATCAGGTCAGCTACACGCCTTATTGTGAATAACTCTTATCCTTCATCAAATCAAAACTGATGAGTCATCAAAACATTCACCCCCCCCCCCCCACAGTGTGTGTCGATCGAGACATGAGCTAATCAGACCTTGGTTTTTTGAACCAGGCTGTAAACAAGTTCATCTCTGCTGTAGAATGGGTGTGTATGTGACTTCCTGTGCTTCTGCAGCCAGCCTCTAGCGGACACTCGAGGAACTGCAGGATTTTACACTCCTGCATTAGGGTTCATTATTCAACACTGGAGGTTGCAGCTTGCTCCAAATGAATTTATGTCTCCTGACAGAAACTAGAGTTTCAGGGCCTGATTCACAAAAGGATTGTGCATGCTAAACAATGTTTGATTGTAGAAAATAGTTGGATGAAAATAAAGCAATAAATGTAGAGCACAGTACAGTCTCAGCGTTGCACATTGTGTTGTTGGTCAGATGCTTTGCTGCATACGTGGAGGTGTTGTTGTTCTTTAAGTTGTCCTTCCTTAAGTCTTCAGATTTGTTTTATAAAGCAGCTGATGTGAGCACGGCTGCAGAGCGTCGATCGGACCGTTATAATGAGCCTGTAATTATGATCCTGATGCCGAGGTAGAAGGTGTGTGTTTGTCTTTGATGTGGCCCCGACACACACTCTGTCATTTTGACCCCTGCACCGCCCCGCACCGCCCTGCTGACCGCTGTTACTATATTCTAAGCGGGTTGTTCCTCTGTGTGAGTGAGGCGTGTTTGTGCTGCGTGTGGCCGTCACCTCAGATCTCTCTAGGTGGCAACTGCTCCACTGGTGGGATGGACGGGACATGAGTGTGAGTGTTTGTGTGTGTGTGTGTGTGTGAAACATAAGTAGTAAAACATAACTTAAATGTGATGTTTCTGAATGAGTCACAGGAGAAAGTGTATATGTAACTTGGAGTTATATTTACATGCCTATAAAAGCTGACCTTGTCTTAAAACGAATGATCTAAATGACAAAATTGAATACACAAACCAGATGTGGGACGTAAAGATGACTTTTTTTTGTATATATAAGTGTACAAGTCGCTCTCATCTAAAAGGGCAATGCCACCCACCGCAGGAATGTGTTATTTCTGTGCCCTATGGCTTTGGAATATTTGTGAATATGCACCACTTTTTCCAGAGTTAAAAACCTGAAACCTAACCGTTAAATCTGAGCTAAAGAAGTTTGATGTTTTCTCCGGTCTCTGCTCGGTTGCTTTTAACAGAAACCATGGCTGAACAAACAAAGAAATGGGTGAGGATAAATTACTACAGACAAAGGCAGTGCCAAAAACAAGTGCAAACCTTAAGAGAAATAAACAAAGTCAACTTTCAGATTGAGACAGGACACATTTAAAGGACCAGTCAGTGAAATGATAAAGGTACCTTATTATATGATCAGACATAAAGGAAACATGCTATGTTGAAGTGCTGGCTCTCTACAATGTTTAGAATTTGGACTGCAGTACTCCTTTTAAACACTAGGGGTCAGAGTTACATACAGCTCCTTTAATGTAAGTATGAAATGAGCTGCGATCTCACGTTTTTCTTCTTCCTGTCTTGTTTAGTGACGGATGGCACCACCAACTTGTTACTAGGCAACCACACCAACATGCTGCTGGTCTACCAGGATGTGACTCTGAAGTGGGCGGCCCAGCTCCCCTTCGTCCCCGTGGCCCTACGCATCGGCAACTTCCCGTGAGTAAAAGCATTTTATATTACTAGAAAGCCTTGAGATATTCATTCCTCTTCAGTGTTAAGAAACCAAGCAGCTGGGGCGCTGTTGGTGCAGTGGTTAGTGCGTGCGCCCCATGTATGGAGCCTGTAGTCCTCCAAGCAGGCGGCCCAGGTTCGATCCAACCTGTGGCTCCTTTCCCGCTTGTAATTCCCCACTCTCTTTCTCCCTGTTTTCCGACTGTATTCACTGCCCTATCTCTCCAATAAAGGCACAAAAGCCTGAAAATGAAACCAAGCAGCTGCTGATCAGTCTGCTTTAAACATAGTTTGCTTCAAAGTGCGCGTATGCAAAGCTGGAGAAAGTTTGTTGGCGTGAGGAGCAGGGTGCAACCGAGTTTCTGGGTGCTTGTCGGGTAATTAAACTCAACAGGTTAATTTGATTGACCTGATCCTGCTGTGATGTAGCTCTGATCTGAGCGAGGAGGAAGAGAGTAAGACATGTAGAGGCAGACGAGCAGAGAGAGGCAACTATAATAATACAACTATAAAAGCTATTAATATAAGCAAATCATAACACATAATATTACTCAACCAAAGTCATATTACCAGCCAATCACAGCTCATATTACTTCTTTATGGCACATGCGACTAGCCAATCACAGCCCAGTAGGGCTGCAAGAGGCGGAGCTAAATTGGGCCAAACACATGACTCAATGACACACCTGTAAGCACACAGGTAAGGACGTCAAAAGCAGAAAGGCTTTCTTATCAGCTTGTGAGATCCAGCGTGTGGCTCTGCTGCAGGAAATGGCAGCACAACGTCTTCCAGCTGGCCAATCAATGAAGAGCAGGGCAGGGAGGGGCCATCTGTAGCCAATCATCCGTCTTCATTTAAACATCTCCAATCAAAGCGCAATTACGAGCCAAAACACAGGCGTGTGTGTGTGTGTGTGTGTGTGTGTGTGTGTGTGTGTGTGTGTGTGTGTGTGTGTGTGTGTGTGTGTGTGTGTGTGTGTGTGTGTGTGTGTGTGTGTGTGTGTGTGTGTGTGTGTGTGTGTGTGTGTGTGTGTGTGTGTGTGTGTGTGTGTGTGTGTGTGTGTGTGTGTGTGTGTGTGTGTCTTAGATGGAGTCGATAGTGTTTGTCTGGGTTGCTGTTTGGTTTAGTTTAAGGCGGTGTTATTTTACTGCTTGTGATAGTCATCGTCTTGTTCAGTGTGTCGTCAGTGTGTGGGAGCGACACACACACAGACACACACACATGCACAGTAACGCTCGAGCAGCTCGGTGTAAATATCTGTGATTTACTGCAGCTCCAGAAGCCTTTCCTTTGTTTTATTGCGAGCTGTATTGAGTTTCACAACTTAATTCTGCCGACCTCGTATTAAATCATCACGAGTTCTTCCCAAGCTTTTTTAAACTCTCCGCACAAACTACCAGCCCAAATTTGGACGTTCACAGAAACAGATCCACAAAAGAAAGGACCGAGGAGTACGTGAGCGTCTCTAAAAGAAAGCAGACCCATAGAAACGGAACAACGATCCTGGAAGCAGCGTGATGAGACGACTACATGCTGTTTTTAACAGCTAATCACATTTAACCCTTTCAGCCTGACCTTTTATGACGTCTCTACGTGTGAGCCAGGGCTCGATCCACCCTGAGTTACTGCTCGCATCTCGTATTGATCCACATCTTGAGCAGATAACTTCTTTAAATTTGAACATGGACAACTTCACAGCCCCGTACATTTCATATTTCACATTTTTTATTTTTATTATTTTTTATATTTTACATCTTTAAATTCTATTTTATATATTGTAATAGCTTCTTATACTGTATTATTTAAGTTGTTGCTAGTTCTGCTTTATTTCCTTGTTAATTGTTTAGCACCAATACACCAAGTCAAATTCCTTATATATGTAAATGTACTTGGCAATAAACCCTGATTCTGATTCTGATAAATACTCAGTGATTGATATTTGGGTTAAAAGCGATGCACGCTATCACTCAAGCTTACGGCGTTATCTGAAGGTAGACGACTTCTATGATCGTGTTTATGCTGCTCGACCTTCGGGTCAAAGCCTGACATGGCAACTATGGAGCATGCTCAGAACGCCTAGTCCAGTTTGGGTCTGATTGAAGTGCAAACATGTGAGAGTAAATTCATTTCCAATCTCTTCATCTCGCTGTGTTTGAAAGTTCAGTTACGCACGATTTCAGATTTTTAAAGTCCAGTTTAAGTCGCTCTGACTCCAAAAAATCCACTTTTTTCTAACATCATGAAAACGTGCTGACGTAGGGAATGATCTGGTTAAGAGACAACGACTTGATTGTCTGATTAAGAGTCTCGATTATTGTTTATAAACAGGATTCTTTAGTTTGTGTTATGGTTAGTTATTCGCTGACACGCTAACCTGAACAGACTCTCAGATTTGTGATCCGGCTGAGTCGGACGGAAATGTGTGTAAATGGAAGTTTCATGAATCTCATCTGGATTTTATCTGGATTCGAGAATCTTGGAATGGCAAGTGGAAGTGTGTGTGCGTGTGTGTGCGTGTGCGTGTGCGTGTGCGTGTGCGTGTGCGTGTGCGTGTGCGTGTGTGTGTGTGCGTGTGCGTGCGTGCGTGCGTGCGTGCGCGTGTGTGTGCGCGTGTGTGTGCGCGTGTGTGTGTGTGTGTGAGTGTTTCCACAGCAGTTAAAGTGAAAGTTTTATTTCCCCTCAGACACCCTCTCTGATATGCAGGTGTGGATCTGGCTGCTGCTCGAGACCTGAACCCCTGTTGTGTGTGTGCGTGTGTGTGTGTGTGTATTTGTGTGTGTGTTATCGCCTCACTGGACTGGAACCACAAAACACATCTGCAACCAGTTATCAAACACACACTCTCTCACACAAACACACACAGTCAAATTTATTATTGCATCATGAAGTGTTTCCTTGTGCTCTCAATCTTTGTTCTGGTTCAATATCACAAACTAATAAACTCAACTTGTTGTTTGTTTGAATAAATAAACTGTAAAGTATCAAACTGTAAACACTCTCCTCTCCTCTCATGTGTCCTCCTCTCCTCTCCTCTCCTCAGTGAGTTAAAGGGAGTCGTGATCACTCTGAACTCCGATGGTCACCTCCTGTGCTCCTACATGGGAACAGACCCCTCCTTCTTCTCCACGCCAAAGGTGGACGCCAGGGAGGCGGACTACGAGCAGGTGGAGGCTGAGATGAAGAAGCTGCAGAAGTACATCAGAGAGGCCAGCAGGACTCAGGGTAGGAGCGGGCTGGAGGGACTTTGATAAAGATTATCTGACCATGGATCAGAGGTTTCAGGCTGTCCCAGACGACAGATGATCAGTCGTGGTCATATCTGTGGTCACGGCTCCAAAACGGTGTTCCTGTGAGAGGATCAAAGACGCCGTGTCTCATATGTCAAATATCTGACAGTGTCACAAATTCAGGACGCTTTGCGACTCATCTCTATTGATTTGATATCAACTTTGGAACATCATGGATTTCATGTTATTAACTCAAGCTCGTGTTTTCTTTTCAGACATTCTGCCTAAATCTGACGTCGAGGAGGACCTGATTATTACTGCTGTGGTGTCGTCAAGTATGGACAGCCCATCGGTAAACAAACAGAGACACACACACACACACACACACACACACACACACACAGAAAGACTCATCATGCCCTCTCTATCTGTCCACAGCTAGCTCTGATCCAAGACCTGGATGGTCTGCCCGTCCCTTCAGTAACCGTCCAGGTGAGACTCTCTCATTGTTTCCTTTCTCTTCCTCCTCTCTGACCTTCTTCTGCTCTCTCTCTCTTCCCCTACATCTCTCTCCTTTCTTTTATTAGCTCTTTTATTGTTCTGCACATATTTACATTCCTCTCCGTCTTTCCTTCTGCAGGTGACGGTGAAGGCCAGCTGTGTCATGCAGTCCTCAAAGCTGAGCGTCGGCGTTCAGCCTCCTCTGGCCGTCACTCAGGACCAGTTCGTCCTGCAGCCCATGGGTCAGTCTGCTGCAGCTTTTTGAACCAGTTTGTGTTTGAAACGCACTCTGCATCATGTAGTTTGACCTCTACTGCTGCCTGTTGGCTTTATTGTGTACTGCACCTGATGTGACCACAGCTTTACTGTGTCGTCCAGTTTTGCTGTACTGGGCGATATATTACCATGTTGTTTTTTTGAGCACAGCCGTAGTGCGATGGTTAACTTCATAGGTCGTGGTTCTGTTTGCTTGTTCGGGAATCGCCTGCGTGTTCCCCAGTACGTGATCTCATGCTCGCCTGTCTGCAGGGACGTCTGGTCATCAAGGATGAGACTGTGATGTCACAGCCAAACCGCTCTACACAGTCTGCTACAAATACACGTCTGTGTATTAACATTAGAGGTTTGATTTTGATCGTGACAGGAAGCTACGCTGCACTGAAACTGTATCCGTCTGGATGCGAGCGCACTACTTGATCAATAAACAGCGACGCTACTGAAAAGATATCTGATTCAGAAATCAGCGATGCCGAGCTCATGAGAAATGTATTCAAACTTCTAACATCGCTATTTGTCTGCTGTCACTCCAGAAACTCATCTCTGAATTCTCAAATCAGAATCGAAGCTGGCTGCAAGAATCACCAATCAATCTTCACAAAGGAAATCAAATCCTTGTTCTCCTTCAACTTCCTCAAATCAAACAATGACAAAAACAAGGTTCTCCTCATCGCCACCAAATGCACAATCTCAAAACCTGACAGTTTTTCTCTCACTATTGATCCCTCCTCAGTCCCTCCCTCCCCTCAGGTTCAGAGTCTCTGGGTGTTGTCCATGAGTGCACGCCATCATTCCAAGCTCACATCAATAATGTCAATCGGTCTGATTAAATTAATCGCCTCCGCCCAACAGTACCGCCATCTCCCTTCTGTTTGGTCTTCCTCTCCAGTCCATCCACAAACTGGTGCAGAACTCTGCTGCCCGCATCATCTCTAGAGCGCCCTCCATTAATCCCTTCACTCCCGCCCTTCAGCTGGACAATCCTTCAGATTCTGCTCGTTACCTTTAAGGCTGTCCATGACCTCACTCCTCTGAACCTCTCTGCACATCAACACGCCCACCTACACTCCGAGGTCTTCTTCTTCCATTCAACTCACCGCACGACCCGCCTGCCTGACCACCACGGGATCCAGAGCCTTCAGCCGCTCTGACCCCTCCTCTGGAACCCCACCAGACATCCTCTTCTCATAGTCCACTGCACAGCTCCTACATTGCACCTTTTGTACATTTTGTGTTTTAAATTTTAAATTTTTATATTTTTAATTTAAAATGTTTAAATTCTATTTGATATTGTAATAGCTTCTTATACTGTATTATTTAAGTTGTTGCTAGTTCTGCTTTATTTCCTTGTTAATTTTTTAGCACCAATACACCAAGTGATGTGTATACTCCTTGTATGTGTAAATGTACTTGGCAATAAACCCCGATTCTGATTCTCTCCATTTTAAAATCTCATCTCAAAACACATCTTTTGAAAGTCTTCACAAAGCAAAACAGACCAAACTGAGAGTTCTTCATTAAACTCAGTCCAACATGTTGGACTCAGATCCTCCCAAACATTGATTCATCTTCAGTGATTTGGCGCTCAGGAAGCCACAGTGAGATCAGAACAGTCCTCGCCCTTGGACAGAGAAGAAGGCGAGAGTTGAAGTCTTCATAACGCCTATCCGTCTTCATCAGAGGTCGTGTCGGCTCCGTCAGGAACGTGAGCTCTTCTCACACTCACTCTGAGCTTTTTGAAGCTGTGTCTGCTGAAGTGTGAAACATGTGTGCACCAGCATGTCCTCCAAACACTCTGCTGCTGTAAATACACTTTCTGATTGTTGCTCCATGCACTCGTTGTCATCCAGGAGGACTTCCAGTAATCACAATGATTTTTAAACCTCGCTCATGGACATTGGACTTCTTTTGCCTGCGTACATCACATCCCCATTGTGCATCTCTGGTCATTTGATTATGTTTGATATTAGTTTATTTAGATTTTTTGGGGCTTTTGGACATATTGCCACTACAGCGTTTAAATGGATTCAGTGTAAAGTCGTATGTTATGGATAAGGTGCTGCGGGTTACACTGACATGGCGGGGAAGGTGTCTGCGTTCATTTTGTGGAGACATAAACTCGGCCTGAGAAAGCTGGAGCCGCGTCAGAAAAACTCCTCCAAACTGGTTTCGACATTCGCAGAAAAGATCATCCATCAAAGAGGAGTACTGACGGAGGTTCAATTTATGATTTCAAGATGTGAACAGCATTCTCAGGCGGTTTGAACGCCATCCACTCAGCGAGAGCCCTGAATCAAGCTGACCACTGCTCTCCCCATGATACATGATTCATGATGTGTGACGTGCGTTCTTATCTGAGCGTGTCCCGTACGTGACGGTGAACTCAAACTCTGTGCGCTCGCTCCACAACACACTGAACATTTCCTCCACATTCTTGTTTCGGTGCCGGACATTATTAAGTCTTTTTTTTTATTTTTTTTTATATATGACCAACATTTCATATGCACATCATCTGTTTTTATTTTTTTTCTTGCTTCAGTATGTCCACATGCAGGGCCGCCCATCAGGGGGGATAAAGGGGGGTAAAGTGGGGTATGGGGGGGGAAGCTTTCTGGGGCCAAGTCGCACGGGAGATGGCCCGCAGAGGTCAGCAGAGAAAACACGGTCCATCCTTATTTAAAGCAACAGTGACCACATTTTATTTTACAGCTAAATACTCACCATGACCTCTTAAAGCAACACATGCAGTCTGTTTCAAAATGTTAACCCCCTCTTCTAAAAATGATTTGAGACTGATTGAGAATGATTTTCCAAACTCCATTCGATCTGCAGAGTCGCTTCGCTCTGCACCTTTAAGAAAAATCTAAAGACCCAGCTCTTTCATGAATATCTACTAACTTAATGATGATGGTCTCAATATTATTGATGATGATGGTTGTGACGATGGTTTTTGTTTGATAACGATGATTAGAGCTCTGAAGAACTGCCGTCAATGTTGTGCTTTGCCTCTGTGCAATGCCTGTCAGCACCTGTTTGTCCAATCGGACTCAAAGCTGATCCTTTGCTCTTACTGACATTGTTCCCTTTTTTTAGATCCTTGATTGTATTGTTCTTACTCTCTGATGTACGTCGCTTTGTATAAAAGCGTCTGCTAAGTGAATTGTAGAATTGTAGAGACTTTTTTTTTACTGTTACTGACGTCAGCGGGCAAACAGAAGGTAGTTATACGCTCATCACGTAGGTGCAGGGCCGTGCAGGAACAGCAGACTGAGGATGAAGAGCTCGCACACTTACTCGAAAGCCACAAAAAGTTTGAATTCATCACAATCAAAACGTTTTGACCAGAGGTCATCTTTTAGATGTAAGTGGGGGCGCAGTGAACTTCACTGTTATACCAGTTATATTGAAGGAGTAAAGCCATGCCAGCACCTGCACAGAGTGAGGATGAAAAGGAGGGCGCTGGACGGACATTTGACCCCAACAAGAACTAATAACAAACTGATTTCAGTCTGCTGCAAAGGCTGATGGAAGCTAACGTTAGCCAGGAGGTTAGCAGGTAGGGCATTTCAGGGGCCCAGCCATTTCTGCCCTTTCTGATGTCATGAAGGGGAAATCTCCAAACGGCCTGTTTGAGACACAGTTTCTGAAAAGTGGAGCAGGCAAAAGACGGAGAGGATGGACTTTTCTCAAGATGGGACATCAAAATGTATCTAGAGGAAAACCTTCGAGCGGCCCGCCCAGGTGTGAGTAGGAAACGCTGAAGGTGAAGAATGGCTCTTAACTCATCCCCCCCCCTCCTCGTCTGATCATATAACACAAACTAGAAGCTAAAAAGAATATTTAAAGTGAAACGTGATCAAGGAATATATTCATTTACAAAGATGCAGAAAAGCTCCTAGAATCGTCCGGTTGGAGTTTTTCTGGTTGGCGCTCTCTTCGTGTCGCTGTTTATTCTGAGGATCAGAGGCGATGATTCACTGCGCCGCCACATGCAGAGCGCTCAAGAGGCGCTTTGTTTACACAAGTTTAGGTAGCGGTCAAACGGGTCAGATTCAGAAGCCTCTGTCTCAGCCACACACACACACACACACACACCACACACACACACACACACACACACACACACACACACACACACACACACCAAAACGTATAAATTCAAACTGTGTGTGCGTACGAGCGTGCGTGTCACGCTCTTTTGTCTTCCTGCACACAGAAATGTGGCACTCGCTTCCACGAGTCAATCATCAGCTCTCTACTGTGAAACATGAGAGCCATTAAAACTCTCTCTCTCCCTCTTTCTGTCTCTCTCTCTCCCTCCCTCTCTCTCCCTCTCTCTCTGTCTCTCCCCCTCTCCCTCTCTCTCCCTCCCTCTCTCTCTCTCTCTCTCTCTCTCTCTCTCCCTCTTTCTGTCTCTCTCTCTCTCCCTCTTTCTGTCTCTCTCTCCCTCCCTCTCTCTCTCTCTCTCCCTCTTTCTCTCTCTCTCTCCCTCCCTCTCTCTCCCTCTCTCTCTCTCTCCCTCCTCTTTCTCTCTCTCTCTCCCTCTCTCTCTCTCTCTCTCTCCCTCTCTCTCTCTCTCTCTCTCTCCCTCTTTCTGTCTCTCTTCCTCTGTCTCTCTCTCCCTCTTTCTGTCTCTCTCTCTCCCTCTTGCGCTCTCTCTCTCCCTCCCTCTTTCTGTCTCTCTTCCTCTGTCTCTCTCTCCCTCTTTCTGTCTCTCTCTCTCCCTCTTTCTGTCTCTCTCTCCCTCTCTCTCTCTCTCTCTCTCTCTCCCTCTTTCTCTCTTCCTCTGTCTCTCTCTCTCTTGTCCCCCTCTTTCCTCTCACCGTCCCACCTAAGTAGCCCCTCGCTGGCCCGGTTTGGTCCCGAATGACTCGGCTCTGCAGCAGGACCAGCTTGTCTGACCCTTGGTTGTCATATTTGGCCCCTTACCGAGTGTTTCACGTCCTTTACAGTCATGGAAGACTGT